GCACAGTGACAAGCTAAGATAGAGGGTTTAGAGAGTGTGTACCTTATTGGTTTAACCCTTTATTTATAGATGGATTACCTGACAGAAATGGATTTTTGGGCCTCTCAAGAGCATTGGGGGTCCAATTGTTGATCCATTGCTGCCGTAGTAGGATTAGCATGATTAAGGAATGTTTCCTTAATTCCCTCTTAGTTGTTAGCCCTATTTGAGCCTTCTAGAATGTAGGCTTTTATCAGGTCTATAACAATTAGAAATGCCTTCAACCCTAAAGTTATCGACCATCTCCGTAAAGTTTTTCAGATGATCATGGAGGTCCTTTAATGGTAGTCTATGAAATTTTTCAGCATTCATGATCATCTGGAACATAACAGGTTTAATCTCATGGACTAGAGTTTGAACTTTGGATTTTTCTGCAATGTTTTATAGCAAATTTCTTCTTATAGTTTCTTATTTGTTGTCAAACTGTTAAAAGGTTCCTTTTTTATAAACCTATTTGGAAATTTAAAGCTACCTAATGCATGATTCTTCCTTTTACTATTTTATTTATAAATGGCAATTTTATGCCACTATTATAAACAAAAGTGCAATTTGATAGTGTATCATTCACGAGCCCTATATTTTTGGTTAAAATTTTGAATTATATGATAGTAGTGCTCCTTAAGACCAGTCCTAGCTTCACTTCTACTGATAAATCTGTAAAAAAGAATGACTAAATAACAGCACAAGAGGGGGTGAATTGTGTTTTAAACTTTTTCGCAAATAACAAAGAAAAATTTAAAAAATTCCCTTTTCAAGAAAGCATGCAAGAGAGATTTAACAATTAACAAAAATTCTCAAACCCTTAAAACATATTCATATTATCAAGAACAATGAATCGAAGAAGAGTAATATGTAGCGAAAAATAAAAAGAGTAAGGGAAGAGAAGATAACATCAGGATATATCCTGGTTCACCCTCCACCACTGAGAGCTACATCAAAAGTGAGGCCGATCGTTCTACTATCATCAAGCTTCCAATCAGTGCTTGAAGAAACCATTTTATAAGAGGAATTTTACAAGACCTATTGTAACACCCCGTATATATCCGGTAATGTTATCATAATATCGTATTAAGCTGCGCTTAATTAAAATGCGGAATTACTTTTTCTTTTCAATTATGATGCCATTAACATTACCAATCTTGCTTAATAATCAATTAATAAAACATCGCCTGTATGTAATTGCAATGAAACAGCTAACTGAAATACCTCATAACATAGATAATATAAGTGTGGCTCTAGTCACGGAACTACAACAACGTAGACCGGACCATCTAACAGTTTATAAAACTCCAAATACAAGTACTAATAGAAAGTGTCATGGACAATCCCCATGCTCACTCAAATAAGGCAACATGCCCAACATTAGTCTCAACAACAACATATCATAAATAGCGGAAACATAAACAGCATCCAAATCCAGTCATGCTAACATATAAGCAGAAACAACATAATCAGCTAAGCTTCGGCCTCCTGCCGCCTGAGGCATCAGTACCCATACTACCTGATCCTGAAATAAGCATTCCCCAAACGTGGGGTAAGATCTCTAATCTAGAAATCTCAGTAAGTCAGTGAGTCCTCAATGATCTTCCACCCCAAGCTCACTTACATGTGCAATATAAGTTCAAAAGCAGTTTATCATTTATCATTTCTAAAACAATGCAATGCAGCAGATAATCATGCCATGTGTGTCAATACTAATCTACTGGTCAGAGACAATGCAGGTATACGTCTATCACCTACACATCGTGCAAGTACCACTTGCATTCACCCCGGTACACCGTCTTGTATGGCGCTACATACTCAGGCTTCCCGTCAAGATGAAACAACACATGCATATTAAAAGCCATTACATGTAAAGTTCAATCAACATATCAAATATCCAAAAGCATGTGCACAGCATGCATAAACCATACCCCCATGGGACATGGTGGAACCACGACATGGCTAAACCGAGGACACGAAAGCTTACCTTGCAAGCTAACTCCAAAAGCCAAGAGTCCACAGCTCAAAGTCCAAACACAGCAGATTCACAATCTGTTATGGACCAACAATACATCAACAACATGCACCACGAGCATACAATATTAAGACAACGCCTTTTCATTACGTTTTCAAGTCTTAAAGCTTCTAACAAAGCCACAAGCCCTTAATCCCATGATTCTGGCTTAATCCATTAAATACAGAAGTTCAACTTCATCAAACTAGGGTCCATAAACCCCCAATAGCCTACTGTACACACAACACAGCTGCTGTTCTGCGAAATCTCAGAATATCCGGATATCTCGCTGTCCATATCCGGATATGCAATATCCGGATATACAGATTCACATATCCGGATATCCAATATCCGGATATCGCAAAACCACGTATCCGGATATCCAATATCCGGATATCAGTTTGACAAATATCCGGATATCTCACGACAGAATGCAGTTTCTGCATTTTCGTGAAGATATCCCAAAAAGGTTCCCTTTTACCGATTTTAAACACCTAATCATGCATTTCTAGATGTGTTAAGCCTCACCCAACAACAAGTTATCATCTTTTAACCTTAACATGCATAAAGCTTTCATTTTTAAGCATTAAACTCATGATTAAAGGTTGAAGATCATACCACAAGCTTAAACTCAGCAAGAATGACCCAAAGAGCTCACCAACAACTCTTTCAAGTACTGTTTCTACAGGTACACGAAAATGGACCAACAAGATAAGTCCTTTCCTCACCAAGGAAGCTACTTGGAGCTCAAAACCACTAAGAACAAGATGAATCTCCTCCAAACTCTCCAACTCAGAACCAGAACCTCACAATAAACTCAGAAAGATGACTCTTTTCTGCTCACAAGACTCACACTCAGGTATTTCCCATTCACCCAAGGTGTTTTGGTGAGGAAACTAGAGGAAAATATGGCAACTTGGTTGAGTTTCCAAGGAAACAAGGCAAGGCATGAAGGAGGCTGGTCAGCAGCTCCAAGGCACCAACTTTCACGTTCAAATGACTGAGTATCAGCCTAGGTTAGTGTGCAAAAGTTGTATTTATAGGCCATGCCACTTAAACACACAGTATTAACTTTAATTGCTACGCCTAGCATTTTAATCCCAAACTTTGGATTATGAAACTACATAATTTTCTAAGATTATCATATTTTTCTTGTAATTTTCTGAGCACTTTTCCGGTACGCGCTTTTCCAAGCCAGTACCGGTTTCCAGCACCATTTCTCGTTATCTGGACTTGAAACTCGTTTTACAAGTCCTACATATTATTCTAGTAATTAACATGCACTTATTATAATTTTCCGGGATACTTTTTCGGCACGCATTTACACCGACTAGCAGAACCGGTATCTGCACTTTTCTTCCGAAAAGCGACTTTCAACATTCTTAATCACTTATTACGATTATTAAGCCTCATAAATAATTATTAGGGTCAATTATGGAATCATTTCCTAATTTTTCATAATTAATTAATTAAATACCTTAATTAACGGTGCGGGTTCTTACACCTATCATCTACCTGATCACGCTTAACCTAAACCCTAAGATCACTCCTCTTGACCCAAAAATCAAAACTCAATTGAAATTTTACTAGACAGCAGACAACCCTTGATCACTCTTAACCTAAACCCTAGGATCTTCAATTGAACCAATCACAGAAGCATAATAACCTCCCAAAATTCAGAGTTACAAAGAAAAACAGAGAAAGAAGATTAAAGACCTTTCTCTCTCTATAATATCAATTTTAAACATAATCCATGTACTTGGGAGATTCTAACTGTAATATCCTAGAAATATAGTAACAATAAAATTAATAACAATAAATAAAAATAATAGTAGTTTGTACCCATAATTTGACTTTAAAACTGTAACCTTAATTGGTGTTGGTTTTAATTGTAACGTTCAACAGTTATGGTTGGTTATCATGTAATTAGTAAATGCCAACAATTATTTTTATTTAATTTTGTAACCATTAAGATATTAATAATAATTAAAATAATTATGATGACCATTGATTTTACCTGCAGTTTTTATAACTAAAATAAATGTGATGATCGTTGATATTACATGTAGTTAATGTCTCGGTTTCAAAACTACATCTATAAATAGGAGCTTAACTTAACTAAACCAAATCACTTTCAATCTTCAACATTTATTCATTTCTCTCCTTCTTTTTCTTCTCATTTCAAATTTTTATTTTTCTGGCTACCAACTGTCATAATCCCTAAGTGCTCTTAGGTTAGTTTTATGTGAAATTTGTTGGGTATATCCTAATCCTTTAGAAGTAATAGATTAATTATACATGAATTTCGTCGAACTTTTTGACAAAATCCTTTAGAAGTAATAGATTAAGCATACATGAATTTTGTCAAACTTTTTGACAAAAAAACTCTATCGGATAAAAATTTAGTCGCTTTTCGATGAAAAGTATTCTGACGAAAAAATAATTTTTTGACGAAATTTTCATCGTTTGCAACGTAAAAATTTCATCGAAATATGATTTTTTTTAGTAGTATGAAAAATACATAAATAATTTTTTTTAGAAGTTTTAAATTTAATTTAATTTAATTTAATTTATAAAATATAATAATTATATTAAATTAAAAAAAAATAAAATTATAAAAATATCTCATTAACTCTTAATTTCTCTCTCATCATTATTTTAACTTCCAAACAAAAAATAATGATATGCTTCATTTTCTTTCTTTCTTTTTCCTCCCTCTCCTTTGGATTTCCTTTTTCTCCTTTCTCTCGAAACTCCAGAACAAAGCATGAATGTATTAGGTCTCGAGTTCACATATTTGAATACAACTAAAAGATAAGTGTAATGTGCTTATAGGGGAGGGGCAAAAAGGTAAATGCGGCTCTAATTTGAGAGTGTTGCCCTAGACACTGGCTTCCCTACACGATGACGAAAACAAAGGCTGAGATCCAATCGCTTCAATAATCCAACGGCTGACGCACTCCACATTACCCTTTATATTGATCTTCGTGTTACCCTCCCAGTTTTTTCTGCTCTAGCAAGCGCCACAATCGCAGTCGCAGACTCTTTCAATCTCTTCAAGAGTTTCAAGGGTTTGCGATCTAGCCTGTCTCGTTAAAATGGTGATCCATTCTCTCTCCTTTTCATTCCTTTTTTTTTTTTTTCTTCGTCTGTGACTTTGGCAATTTCGAACGCCTCCAATTCTGATCGTTTGGATTTCATTCTCTCCGTTTTCAGGTTCTCCAAAACGACATCGATTTGCTGAATCCACCGGCCGAGCTCGAGAAAAGGAAGCACAAGCTCAAGCGTCTAGTTCAATCCCCAAACTCGTTCTTCATGGTAGCCACTGTTATCACCTATCTTCGTTTGTGTTACAGTATATTTTTTCTGATCTGATCTTTGTTTTTTGTTTTTCTTTGAATTTGTTGTAGGATGTCAAATGTCAAGGTTGCTTCAATATGTAAGTCACATGCGAATTCCTGTGCCTTTGTTTGAGGAATTTTTTTTGTTTTTGAATTTCTGTGTGAAAGACACTAGAACTAGTTGGTTTGAATGGTTGGTTTATTGAGGTTGAAAATTTATATATGCAGAACCACTGTGTTCAGTCACTCCCAAACGGTTGTGGTTTGTGGGAATTGCCAGACGGTGTTGTGCCAGCCAACTGGTGGCAGAGCTAGGCTAACGGAGGGGTGCTCCTTCAGGAAGAAGGGAGATTAGTGATTTGCTGCAGTTATGAGAGCCTTTTTGAGGGTTGGTTATAATTCTTGACAGAGAAATTTTGACGTTCTTGGATTTTGATAATGTCTCTAATATTATGTAGTTTCTGTGTTTGGAATTGCCGAATGGAACTGGGTTTTCTGTGTCAATGCGCTTGTTCTGTTCATGTTGAGAAGATTTTTGAGTAAATGGCCTTTGTTTGATATGGTTGTCTGACATTATCATTACCTTTAATTGAAATCTAGCAATTTATTTAATTGTTGTTTTGTGCATTGTTTGATATTATATCTCGTGTCATGGTTGTTTGTATGAATGGTGTCGTGAATTGAATCAACATTCACCTAAAATTTGCAAATAGAAGAGTTAAAGAATGTATTAAATATATTGAAGAAATTATATTTGTTTAGTGTTATAACTTTTGTTCTAAATAGATACAAACTGGATTGCCTGTGGACTTTTGAGGATTATCATTCATCATTCACCTAGGGCTAGCAGGGACGCTCAGAAACCTGAATTCTTTTTTAAAATATTTTTAACTGCTGCTTGGCACAAATTCGAGCATTGTATTAAAATCTGAAATATGTTAAATTTTCCCCGAAAACTAGGTCCTTTAGAGCTTGTTGCTGGAGAACGGGTTTCTTGATGGGTACATGCAATGGTTTGAGTTCAAATTTGTAATAATTTTTCTGCGATTTATAAGCCACGGAGCTTAGGAAGTGCTGCTCATCTTATAAGGGCAAGTCTAAATCTGGTAATTTGTGAGCGTGAGATTCCTTGTCTAGTGTTCTGGGATATGGGTTTCTATTAGTTCCCTTTACAGATTTAGATTTAGTATGGATTTATGTAAGCCTTTGAGTTGTCATCTTAATTATTATGGTGATTTTATGTCAAAAATATTATGGTTATTGGATTTCTCTTTCTCAGCAAAAAAAAAGGTTTTGTTTTCCTTGGTCCCTTTCATTGTAGTTGGATATCACCCCAGAGTATTTTGTATAGCATTCTGCTGTCATTGGCAATTATGTTTCATGTACTGCGAACTCGTACGGATATGCATTTCTATGCAATTACCGAGATATAATTTAAAGATAAGAGCAATTGAATATGTTTATATGTTCGTGAAGTTATGTAGAGGTCTGTATTTTTGTTTATTGTTTTTCCAACGGAGGCTTGGTAAGTCGTTTAGGTTAATAGGGGAATATCGTACTCTATTTTTATTCTCTAGCTTTTGTTTGATAGTTTTATAGAGGATGAGGATGAGGAGGGATAGCATGGGATGAGGAAGTTGTGGATTCGGAGAAGTTAACGGGGGGGATGAGGAGGGATAGCATGGGATGAGGAAGTTGTGGATTCGGAGAAGTTAACGGGGGGCTATTAGGGTAAAATTTTGGGATTAGCCTCTTTAATCTTTGTTTGAAACTTTTTAATCTTTATTTTTTTAGAAGTTGGAAATTTTAGCTCCAATAAAAAGTAGGTTCTTGGCTTCTTCTTTTGTGTGACTTCTTATTTTTTTTTATTTAAAAATAGACATTTAAATACTAGTTTATAATAAGAGTTTTTTTTTATAAAAAAAGTTTTTGGAGAAAAAAAATTCCTTCTAAAAGCGCTCTAAACATAGATTCACCATTCTATTATTAGTCTATAGGGAATGTTTTGATAACCTTTTGCAAAAAATATATTTTTATGATATATGTCTTTTAGATTTATTTTTTTAGTTTATAAAAAATCCCAAATTTACTTCATTTTTTTAGTTTTCCATTTTTTAGAAATTATTTAACAATCATAAAAGTTTAGAAACATTTTTATTAGTGTTTATTCATTAAAAATATTAATTCATTTTTTTAGTTTTCCATTTTTTAGAAATTATTTAACAATCATAAAAGTTTAGAAACCTTTTTATTAGTGTTTATTCATTAAAAATATTAAGTTATTTTTCCATGAAATGCATCCCGAGCTAATGTCAATTGGGAGAAAAACAAAAAAGCAAAAAAAACTCAGACGACACACTATACTTTTCTTTTAAGAAAATACCAAAACGATGTATAAAAAAAAAATACCAAAACGAACGATGCATACATGAATCTCTTAACGGGATAAGATTTAGTACATAAAAATGACACTCGAAATACTTAAATAAAGGTTTGTCGCAGATAAAGTAATCTGCAATTTAGATGAATTTTACATGTATAGTTTGATTCTTAAAATTGTTAAGGACTTAATTATTACACTCGACTAGGACTTTCTCTGGTAATTGATTATATAAAAAATCGACAGTATTTCCAATTAACTGGTTGCTGTGTTTCGGCGGAAGTTTTATCAACCAAAGTTTTTTCCACCGGAATATGCCCGATTGGATCCTTTCAATTATTTGTTCATTAAACGCTCTTCAAACGAATTTTTTTAACATATAACAATCTCTACATACTCGTTTCAAGTTCTTGATTAGGATCTGTGCTAATAGCCTCCTCTTCGATATAACCAAACAATTTCCTTAGTATGTAATAGAAGTCACAGGAATGATAAAGTGAATTATCATTGACAACAAACTTGTGAACTTGCTGACCAACCTCAATCCAGCTCCAACCCACGTTGGTCTTTGTTCCCTAGCTTTTTATCGTTTTTCTCATTCGTGCAATGCCATCTGCATCCTTAGCTCTAGCACATGTGTCAAGGTGGGGCTGAGCCAAACTAAGGCCTCATATTTTGGGTAAAAGTAATTGAGAAATATTATATTTATAATTTTTTTTTTTTACAAATTCTTACCAACTACATTATGTCTGATCGGTCATACGCTAATCAAGAGTATATGACCGATCATACTTAATGTAATTTATAAAAAAAAAATTTAAATAGATCATTCCCCAAAGTAATAATATTTTTTTTTGGTAATAGTTTACAAGCTAGAAATATGGCTTACATTGGGTTAGCTGACTAGTTTGGTTAAAGTCAGGCAACTCTAGATTAAATTCAACGTTAACATCAAATTTATTCTAAATAGTTAGATCAACTATGGACTAAGTTGGACTAAAAGATTTTGAACTTAAAATTTGTTAATTTAACTTACATACATATTTTATTGAATTATTTAGACTAATGAATTAAATTTTACTCAATTTGATCCGGTAGCCGAGAACATTCTATCAGTCAGTTAATAGCACCAAATTTTTCATAGCAATTTTTGCAGTTGTCTCGTTCTTATGAATATTGGTAAGGCAAAGTGCAGGATCATCACAAGAAGTTTCTATAAGTTGAAATGCTTTATCGTTGAAGAACAAAAAGATCCACCGAGAGCACCTACATGCTTGATACCATGTGCTATGCCAAACCCCTTTACAAAACTTCATTGCAAATCCTGTCTCTTTCTTAACTTCACAGTCACAGCCGAGAGTTTTTTATTTTTTTTTAATAAAATAAATAATTTAAGACTACTTTTTTATTTTGCTTTATTTTATCCATTCTACTATATATGCCCGACCCACCTATATAAGAACAAATTTGGATCAAAGCATGGGAAAGATTATAATATTTTAAGAATGTTTTTTAGAATCCTAAGAACTTTTCCTGAACGCTATAAATGTAGAGATCAAGACAAGTTGTCAATTATTTATTAATTACAAAATTATTTAAAAGGTAATTTTACAAATATTTTTTAAAATAATGTGTAGTATGAAATATTTCTAAAAAATGTTAAAATATAACATTGAAAGAAAGAAAGAAAGTAAGAGAGAGAAGTTGTAAAAGGGAAATGTTCTGACAAAAGTTTTTCCAACAAATTTAAAAATGGAAAATATTACTCTCATATGACATGGGATAATTTTTCTCTCATGCACTCATAAATCAAGGGTGAAGTCCACTCTCTAATTTTTCTCTCTCCTCTATTCTCTCTCCTCTAAGTTGTGTGTGCATTCTCTCATGTCATATAAGAATAATATTCTCCTTTAAAAATTAATGTAGAAATTAAGAGATTTGAGGATGAAGATTCCGAGAATATATAATTTGTACACGACTGATTTCATCTATTCTAGCTTGGAATGCACATATCGGGAAAAATAAATAAATCATCCTCATTATTTTTGGTATATACATAATTAATGAAGATTGAAATGCTAACAAATTATGTTAACTATATACTTGAGGAACAAAGATCTTTCTTGCCAATTATTATTTTTAGAAACAATTATATTTTTAAAAAATACATATTTAATAATCTAATAATTATAAATTCAAGTGATAGGAAATTTATTTCACTTAATTAGAGGTTTTGAATTTAAAATAATAATAATAATAACTCCTTTCAAGTCACTAGTATTGGTTTAGTGGTAAGGGACTTGCCACTTGGGTAAGTTGTATTAGCATATTATCAATTTTCACTTGTATAAAATAAAATAAAAAATATGACAATAGTCAGACCAAATTAAGTAGTGATTAATGAATGAGTAATATATATATATAAAAAATTTTGCCCCAAATAATCTAATCATCTCAATAAAAAAACAGAATCAACTTATACCAATATAAGAATAATAAATCTTATATAAAATCTTAACCATCAATTTTCGTAAATTTAATGATTATAATTTATTGGATCATGTTAATTAATTAATTATTAAATTTTTAATAAATTATAACTGTTAAATTTATGAAAATCAATAATTAAAATTTGCTATAAATGTAGATATAATACACAAACAGTTCATTAAATTTTTTTGAATAAATAGAGAGTTTTGTTCATTAAAAACATTTGAATAAATAGAGAAGGGGTTATCACTTCTCATGTGACAGCAATTTTGTTCTTCTTCTGTTGCTGAAACAAAATTGTGTGGGTCCTATTTTATTACAAAGAAAAAAAAAATATAAAATAACATTGCACATTTCACGATGGGTCAGCTGCAAAAAAACCTTCTACTACGTACTGTCGTAAAAGAAGTATATTTCCGAATAGAGAATTTGAATTAAAAAAAATTGAATAACATATTTTTTGGTTGACGAGACCCTAAATAGAGAGTTAAGCTTCAATTCTTCAAATAAAAGTAATAATATATTTTTTGGTAGAGATAGGTTATTCTACCTATAACATTTTTTCTGTCTCCCTTTGCCTACCACCTTATAACACTATTAGATCAGAATTTCAAGAAGAAAGATAAAGATAAATATTAGTTAATATTATGATCTAATGATATTTTAGGATGATAAGTAAAGGTAGACAAAAGATAGTAAATAGAATAACCTACCCTTCTTGTTAATAGCTTACAAGCTAAAAAATGTAAGACACTACGTGTCAGAATTTTTGAAATGTGCCGTAAAGATTCTATCAGTTAGTTGATAGCACCAAATTCTTCATAGCAATTTTTGCAGTTGTCGCGTTCTTATGAATATTGGTAAGGCAAAGTGCAGGATCATCACAAGAAGTTTCTGTAAGTTGAAATGCTTTATCGTTGAAGAACAAAAAGAATCCACCGACAGCACCTACATGCTTGATACGATGTGCTATGCCAAACCCTTTACAAAACTTCATTGCAAATGCTGTCTCTTAACTTCACAGTCACAGCCGAGACTGGAGATTACACCAGCAGTTTTTTTTTTAAATAAAATAAAATAAATAATTTAAGACTACTTTTTTATTTTGCTTTATTTTATCCATTCTATTATGGGAAATACTCTGTACAAGTATTTTTTATTAATTTTTTTAACATAAACATTTTAAATATATATATATATATATAACCAATATAAAAATTATAAAGTAAAAAAAAATTAATTTTTCAAAAATATGTATAATTAATACAAAAGAATTATATATAAAAAATACAAAAGAATTTAAAAATTTAAATAAAAAATAACATCTATCATTCCGTAAAAATAAACTATAAAAATTTAATTATTATAAACATGAATGATTGTTCAATTATTGCGTTCATTTTTACTAGACAGACAATTCAATTTTTGTGTGTGCATCATACAAGCAATACACTAATATATATAGAAAAATAGTGACATATTTTTTCTTTTAGAGATTAATCAATAATAGTATTCGGCCTTTTAGAGAAAAAAAGTGACTACAAAATTTAATCTTTTTCTTGGCATGAGTAATGCACTGGTATTTACTAAAAAAAAGTAGAGTAGGTGGCTTGATTGGATTCGAATGGCACGTGTCGTTGGACCTTTGTCAAAGAGAAGCCAACAAGACTTCGTGTTTCTTCTATTTTACTTCGAGGCAGTGTTAGCACGCTGCACAAACGAATAAGCTGCACCCAGACAAATCCAAATCCAAATCAAGACAGAGATCCAAGCTTCGCTCTAAGTCTCTGATCCAACTTCGCGAGCCATGGCGGAGGATGATGGTTGCTGCTCCACGCAACTCATTGACGGCAACGGCGACTTCAACGTTGCCGGCCTCGATAATTTCATCAAGGCCGTTAAGCTCGCCGGTTGTGGCCTTTCTTATGCCGTCGTTTCTATCATGGGTCCTCAAAGTAGTGGTGCGTCTACGCCCATTCAATTCCTTTGATTCAATTTAGCTATGCTCAATTTCCCTCAAGCTTGTATTCTAATCCTTTTGTGTTCTCTTGGAAGTTTCTCGAGCTTGGATCAATGGATTCAATCACCTTTAGTGACCTTGTATCGATTGGTTCGAACTCCTGTTTGCTCTGGAATGGAGTTGAAGTTAGTGATTACACTGAAAACTTGAAAAGAGGAACTTAGGCTAGGTTTTAAATTTAATTGACGTGAGTTGTGGTGAAAGTGAAGCTCTTTACATGGTACACACACATGTTAGGAGAAAGAGTGGTGTCATTTATGAGTCAGCTTAAAAAAAGAAAAAAGAAAATCCCTTTATTTTTTCATTATAAATTGGAGATACTATCGTCAGTTTCTGATTTTGCAGTTATCAATCTAGTAAGATATTTTTAGCTTTGCTCTCTCTCTCTCATGGGCTTGTGTGATCTAATGTTATGCTTTTATTTCGTCATCTGAGCAGGGAAGAGCACCTTAATGAATCACCTGTTCCACACAAGTTTCAGGGAGATGGATGCTTTCAGGGGAAGGTTGGATTTTTTATTTTTTTGAAATTATTGAGCTATTAATTTGGGCAGAGAAAAGAAAAACAAAAGGAGAGAAGGGTCTGGGGAAGATAAGGAAAGAGAGAAAGAAAGGATGAAAATTTGATGTCTTCGTTATTTATGCTGCCTATTTCCTTTTCATTTTATGATAAATGAGTGATTGAATATCGTGTTGTTGCAGATCTCAAACGACCAAGGGAATTTGGATGGCCAAGTGTATTGGGATTGAGCCATGCACAATTGCTATGGATTTAGAGGGTACTGATGGAAGGGAGAGGGGTGAGGTAATAATTTCTGTACTAGAAATTTTTTATACTTGTTTATGTATAAATCCAGTGAATGGTCACACTAGTTTGGTGATTTATTAGTAAGTGTAGGCTGTGTTACCTGCTAAGAATGACCTGATACAACATCAACTTTATTCCAAACTAGTTAGAACTCGCAAGATCGAACTGGTAGTATAAGAAAATATTATAAGGTCTTAGCATGTGTTTGGTGTTGACACATGATAGTATAGCCAAATCTGTTCAACTCTTTTAATCCTATTATTATAGGATAACTCTATCATATCATGAGTGGTAGGATAAGACTTGATATTGAATTTTGAATTCTTCTGGAATGTTTTCTAGTAAATTCCTTTTTATAATTTCTTATTTGTTCGTCCAACTGTTCAAGGTTCTTTTTTGATAAGCCTGTTTGGAAATTCAAAGCTACCTGATCCTGTCATGCACGATTCTTCCTTTTACTGTTTTATTTATAAATGGCAATTTTATGCCACTATTATAAACAGGAATGCAATTTGATTATGTAACATACATGAGCCCTATATTTTTAGTTGAAATTTTGAATTGTATGCTATTAGTGCTCCTTGAGACCAAGTTCTAGCTTGACTTTTATTGATGCACACGGTGTGCACGTATTTTATGTAACAAATCTGTTTGCATGTTTGTCTGTTTTTATTGATGCACATGGTGTGCACGTAGTTTATGTTATTGGGCTGTTCTCTTTTTGTTGCATGCACATCAGAACTCACTATTGTCTTGTTTTTTCTTTTTTTAAATATAATTCTCAGGATGATACTGCTTTCGAGAAACAGAGTGCTCTTTTTGCTTTGGCAGTATCAGATATTGTTCTGATAAACATGTAAGTTTTTAGGTCTAGATTATTGCTTCGTAATTGATTGAATGAATCAGATTCTGGGTGATCCTTGAAGTTGGGCATTGTGCTGGGTTATTTAAACACTTTTTAGCAATTTCACACCAACATTTTTGTGCAGTCCTTAGAAACTACATTGCTTAACAGAAGTCTAGTTGGAATTTCAAATCTTTCAGCCTAACTTGGTGTATTGCATGTTTGTACTAGTACCTTATGTTTTATAATAATCATGCTTAACCTACCTACCTGACACAAAGGATCATTGACATTGTATGTCAGTGAGTATACAATGGGATATAATGTAGTAGATGATATGCGTAGATGCATTTTCCTTTTCCATTTTCTATAGCTGTGTACTTTCAATGCTTCCAAATCCTTTTTTCCCTGTTCGTTTCTTTGGAGTCAAATTAGTTGTCTGATTTGATGAGAAATAAAAATGAACGTTGTTTCATGAGTGATGGGAGTTTACAGTACATAAGCAGACAAATTTTAATCCATTTGGACAATTTTTGAAAACTATTTTATTCACAGGTGGTGTCATGATATTGGTCGAGAACAAGCAGCAAATAAACCTCTTTTAAAGACAGTTTTTCAGGTAGTTTGCAGCCATGAATTTGCCTCTGATTGGTATCAATATTTGAGTTTTACACTCTGGTATTTTTTTATTTTCAGGTTATGATGCGTTTATTCAGTCCCCGCAAAACAACATTGCTTTTTGTTATTCGTGATAAAACAAAGGTCGATAACACTTGGTCCTTTCTTGAGAATGCACCCTTCTGTTCTGTAATTCTATTCAATGTTTTATAATGTTTGTGGCCTGTCTGTGCAGACCCCAATTGAACATTTGGAGCCTATTCTTAGAGAAGATATTCAAAAGGTGTTATTTCCATCTAATTTCTGCGGGTTTTATTTTTTCTTGTAGTTTCTTCTTTTTCTTCATCATCATTTAACATGATATGAATTCCTCAGATTTGGGATGCAGTTCGAAAACCCCAAGCTCATAAAGATACTCCTCTTAGTGAATTTTTTAATGTAAGAAGATCTACCTATATCCCCTTTTCACATGTCTCTTTAACTGATTGTATATATTGTGGTGTATGATTAATGACTCTTCAAATGAAGGTGGAGGTTACTGCTTTGTCAAGCTATGAGGACAAGGAGGATAAGTTCAAAGATGAGGTACCATTCTATTAGCTATTGCGTCGCTTTTAGGAATTTGTACAGGGCTTCTTTTCCTCATTCTGGAATCATTTCTAATTTCTATTGCTTTCAGACCTATGAAATTTTGCAAATTTCTGCACTGAACCTTTTCCCTTATCTGAGTTATGATTTAGATCACAGTGTTACACTTTCTCATACAGGTTGCTCAATTACGGCAGCGTTTCTTCCATTCTATAGCACCTGGAGGTCTTGCTGGTGATCGGCGTGGTGTTGTGCCTGCTTCTGCTTTTTCTATTAGTGCACAGCAAATATGGAAAATCATACGAGAGAACAAGGATCTTGATCTTCCAGCTCATAAGGTTTCCTATTATCTTATTTTTTGCATGCAACAATGTTCTTTTTTTCTTATTGATTTGTCATTTTATTCAACAGGTAATGGTTGCAACTGTGCGTTGTGAAGAGATTGCTAACGAAAAGCTTAGTCTCTTACGCTCTGATGAGGTGCTCATCCATATCCCCTATATTGTAAGTTGCATCATTTGTTTTTAAAACCAGTCATCACATGAATGAATTTGGCGTAGGGTTGGATGGAATTGGAGGAAGCTGTTCAATTAGGTCCAGTACGAGGTTTTGGGGAAAAGCTGAGCTCCATTATTGATACATACCTTTTGCAGTAAGTTCCAGATGCTGGTCAACTTCAGTATTAAGTTCAAGATTAACTCATGTTCTATAAATACTTGATTTTTTGTTTAATTTCTGACTTAAATCAACTTGTTCCTAGCCCTACAACTCGTTTATATGTTTATGTGAGTTAAGTTTAATAATTTTCAAATTAAATTGGGCTGCATTTTTTTTTTTTGGATTACATAGTAGTTGTTCACTGCCTGGCTAAATTTCTTTACCCTATTCAGTGTTCTCAAAAAATAAGTTTTTAGAAACAGAATAAAATTAAAAGTGAGTAGGTTATTTGCAAATATTTCAAAAGATATAGGTTTGAACCGTAATACTGCCAATAAAACAAGGAAAGAACAACAGATTGGTTGACTGCATTTTATATGCATTTGTCCTTGGAGGTTGACAAGGATGCATCTTGTCATTATGAAGATTTTGTTGATGAGGGTATTAGTTTTCCATGTGAAGTCTTAGATTATTTAATTGTCTCCTAAAATTTCAAATTTTCTTTTTCATATGCTGATAATATATGCTTTCAACAGATATGATGAGGAGGCAATCTTCTTTGATGAACTTGTGAGAAATGAAAAACGAAAGCAATTGGAGTCAAAGGCGTTGGATGTAAGGCTTCCCGCTACCTTTTTATCGCTATATTTCTAAATTTAGTTTTGACTTTTGATCCATTGGGGCTGAATTTTGATTAAGCAGTCTTGGGCTGTTGAAATAAACTTAAGCCTCTTTGAAAACCTCAAGCCAAAGAAGTCCTTGTTTTATTCAAAAGGTTCTTCATTTTGGGAGAAGAGAGAACTAGTACAGCTGGGTGGAGAATAAGGAATCCTGTAAAAACAATATAGAAGACAGGGCCAAAGAGGCTTAAAGATGCAACTGTGCTTTCCAATATTTGCAGATCTGAAATGAGACTCCTTTAAACCAAGCTTAAGCAGAGCACCAAAGAAATGCTATAAACATAATCCTTCTGCATAGCAAATGTTGGGGCAAACGGATGCCCTTGAAAATGTGGGCCTTCTACTCCAACCATATAATCTACACAGAGACACAATTTCTGGCCTTATTCCTACGAAAACCTTTAAAGATAGTTGAGAAACTTCTTCAAGCTAGAACATATTCAACTTTTATCAATAACTGCAAACAGATTGATCCAAGGAACTCGTCAATATAAGAATTAATGGGTCACTGTTTTTCCAACTAGATTTTCACTTAACAAACACATTAGGAAAAGGAGTTATATAGGGCCTATGGAAATGTATCATTTCATTTGTATTGGATTTTATTAGTAATGCTGTCCAAACAAAGGATTTGATCTCAAGCGTTTTAGATTTCCAGATGTGTTTGTTAAGAAGAAACTTCCCCTTTTTAGAAGATTGAGTGAGAAGTTTCAAAGTGGACTTGGTAAAAACACCCTAGAAGAAATATAAGAATTTATCCTATCTTCATTTGAGGAAATTGAGAAGAATCAAATAATTACTCTATTGTGGCCTTCAGTCATGGTTGATAGAATTTTTTTTTTATCAAGTCTACTTTTGCTGTAGTGGGTTTTGTGATCATTAGGTTGTTTTGTTTCACTTATCATAATTTTAGGGATCCTTTTATATTCTCTGCCCCTTCTTTCTTTCTCCCTCACTGTCTTTATGAGTGTGTGTGCGCTCGTGTATACATATGTATCTTTTACATTAATGTAGTTGAGACTTTACTGTAATTGATCCATTGGAAAGCTAGAACACTATCCCAAACCTATCTTTAGTCATGCTACGCCTGCACTGATTTTGCAACCCAATGTTCCAAGAGCTTAAGCTGAGTAAATGTGTACACATGTTAAATGTATATCAGTAATAATGCATTAATATTCAGTTCAAGTGCACTTGCTTATTGATCAGAAAATATAAGTAACAAAAAGCCACTGACGTCTATACTGAAATACTATTAACTAGGGCTTCTGAAGTGTGTATGTATTGATAAAATTCATATAATTTTTTTTGTCAACTTTTCAGTCTGTGTACCCTGCTTATACAACAATGCTAGGACATCTACGCTCTAAAGCTCTAGATGATTTTAAGACTAAGCTGGAGCAATCACTAAACAATGGAGAAGGGTTTGCTTCATCTGTTCGCATGTGGATTCAGTCCATCATGCTTGAGTTTGACAAAGGATCTTCTGGTAATAGTCAGATAGGATTATTCTTAGCATATACATTGTCACCTGTAACTTTATGTGCATGTTTTAGAATTACTTGACAACTGGAGTGCCTATGCTAGCTTGAGTCTCCATTTGTCTTTTGAATTTACATTAGATGTCATTCAGTCAGTACTGCCTTTATTGTTTTAACTTTAACATTTTCCACTTCAGACTTATATGGGATCTAGATATTTAAAGTAAATAAAATTGGTGGGCATGAGAAGCACTACTACTTTATAGGGTTTAGATCCAATTCTGCAAAGGTATACATGGTCCCAACACCCAAATCATTTTTTATGTAAAGGAAATATGCAGAATCTAATGAATATAATACACAATCTTACTTTCAGTCCACAGTTCTTATGAATTTAAAGGCTATTGCATATGGCGACGATCAAGGGGAAAGTAAAAGGGTGCTTCTGAGAGTGCATATTTCGTAAAATGGTGCTTTTGAGAGCGCATATTTCTATGATACTGTGGATTTATCAAGTTGATGGGGAGAGTTTATTTAATATGGTTTGGTTTCGCTAGAAGTTGTCAAGAGCATATTAAGTATGACTTAGGCTCACTCATAGTGTAGCGAGTTACAAGAAGAAATGAGAGCTTCAGATGGTGCATATTACTATGAGAGACTGTTGATTTATCCTATTAATGGAGTTTATTGTGTACGTGTGGTCTCACCAAAAATTTTCTAGAGCATATTTCAAATTTGGATTTTAGATTCTGTGTAGTGAACTATAAAAGTCATTATTTAGTCTTGAAGCAGAATCTTTAGGAGTTTATTATTCTTCAATTTCATAGATTTAGAAAGTGTGGCTCCTGTTATTTACATCTGTTCATACAAATAAAAGAAAAAAAAATGAACTTTGGTTCAGGTTGACTTTTAGTCTGTATACATCTCAGGATGCATTTTATAAGTCTGTCCTTCTGAATATATTTCAATTTGCTTGCTCTAGAGGAACATATTCTCTCTTGTATGGATTTTCTTGAAATGGACTAGTTGTTTCATCTTAGTGATCATGTAAACTGTTTTATATGATCACTAAAATGCTCACTCCTATCTGTGTTTGTTTATTATTGTTTGCGCTTTCCAGATGCTGCTATAAGACAGGCAAATTGGGATGCTTCAAAAATTCGAGACCAACTTCGTCATGATATCGATTCACACGCTTCATCTGTGTGCAGTGCAAAATTATCGGGGATAACGACTAATATTGAGGTAATATTTTTCAATTTTTGTAACTTTTTTGGAGATTAATTGGTTTAGCTGCATAATATGATTGATGCCTGCAATATCTCTGTCAACCACTAAAAAAGAAGTATTGTTTGCAGAAACAACTGGCCAAGGCGTTGACTGAACCTGTGGAGTCCCTCTTTGAAGCAAGTGGAAAGGACACCTGGCTTTCAATAAGAAAACTTCTTAAACGTGAGACTGAAGCTGCTGTATCAGAATTTTTAGCCTCCATTGCTGGATTTGAGCTGGATAAAGAAACAGTTGAAAGAATGCAACAAAGCTTAAGGGACTATGCTAGAAAAGTGGTGGAGAATAAAGCACGAGGAGAAGCTGGAAAAGTTCTGATTCGCATGAAAGATAGGTAATGGCATTTTAAAGATATCTCGTCAATTATTTGGTGAATTTTGGATTTTGTAATGTGTTATAAAAATTAATTAATTATTGATGTTTTGGAACTTAGGATTACCCTCAGCCACCCTTGGTAGTTGGGGTTTAATGGGGAGTATTTTTTATTTTATTGTTTTGGGAACTCAGTCATTTTAGGGACCAAAACAAGTAATATGCTTGGCTATTTTTGTATGTATTGATGTCTTTGGTTTGGATAGAATGGCAGAGTTTTCAACATTAGTTTCTGTCATTACCAATAGAGAAAGACTCAAAACATTACCGATTTTTTAAATGGTTCCACTTAAATTTTGGTTTTTCATAGAGCCCAATGGTGTCAATTGATTCATGTAGCTGATCCCACTCAATGAGATAAGGCTTGGTTATTATTGTTATTGTTAATTGTCTCCATTTTGTTTTGTTTTGGAGGATGACGTTTACTGTATTTGTACTTTGCTTTTCTGTTACAATAAAAGAAATTGCACTATTTTGGTATAGACGTTATTCATTTTTTGGGTTATTTGGTGGCTTACTGGTTTCTGTAATAATTTTCAGGTTCTCTATGGTGTTCAATCATGACAATGATTCACTCCCCAGGGTTTGGACTGGGAAGGAAGATATCAGAGCTATTACAAGGGATGCTCGCTCTGCGGTAATTGTTAGCAAGTTCAATGATAAATTTTCAGTTTACTAATACTTGGCATTATATTGGAAATTACTCTTTTTTGGCACCATGTAAAATATCTTCTACTTCCATGCATCAGTCGCTAAGGCTTCTATCAGATATGGCTGTTATACGCTTGGATGAGAAGCCGGATCATATTGAAGGTGTACTTCATTCATCTCTCATAGATAAATCTGGTGCTGCGGCATCTTCACAATATACAAGTAGAGAAGCTTTGGTGGATCCACTGGCTTCAAGCACATGGGAGGAGGTAGTGTATGGTGATATTTGTGGTTCCCCAGATAATGTTGTAGTCAAAACTGTTATATTTGAGAATCTATATATATGAAATGTAGGTTTCCCCAGAAGATATACTTATCACTCCAGTGCAATGCAAGTCTTTGTGGAGACAATTCCAGGGAGAAACTGAGTATACAGTTACCCAAGCTATTTCAGCTCAGGTAAAATCATTAGATTATATTCCTGTCTACTTTGTTCTCTTTCCCTTTATTAATTGATTTTTTTTTCTGCGGTTTTAGCCAACTTTTCTACTCTAACAGTTAGAGATATAAAATCATTCATGAACCTTGAGAGCATAAGTTTTTGGGATAGTTGGTCATTGGCATAACCCCTATTATCAATTTAAGTGGTCATGAATTCGATCATTACCACCCTATTTTTTTATTTTTTTTTAAAAGTTTTTAAAAGAGTTGGTTTGTGACAAAATACAAAAAATGAAATCCTCAAGCAGTTCTACAAAGTTTTCTGGTTATCATGTAATGCCACCTAATTGTCGATGTTTTGGTTGAAATTGGAACCTATATAATTATATGCCGTGTTAAAGAGGGAATGACTGACAGAGAGATGGATGTCAATGGATATGTAATTCATAAAACCAGTGGCAGAGCCATGATTTAATTTTAGCCGGGGCCAAAAAATTTGACATATCAAATTATGAAAACATTTTCGTAATTATACAAATCTATTATGAAAACAAATTACTTAAAATTTTAAAGTAATAGTATTGATGTTATTTTAATAAATATTTATTTAAAATTTAAAATATAATATAAAATTAAAGGGAAAAGTTCACCAATGCCCCTGTGGTTTACTCCAGAATCACTTATGTCTCTGTGGTTTTTTTCTTTTCACATATGCCCCTGTGGTTTGTAAAAGGGTATGTTTTTTATCACATATGCCCCTGTGGTTTCTTAGTTTTTACAAAGCACAGAGGCATATGTGATCGAAAAAAAATCACAGGGGCATAAGTGATTCTGGAGTAAACCATAAGGGCATTGGTGAATTTTTCCCAAAATTAAATTAGTAAATAAAGTGCAAATTATATGTATATATACATATATGAAATTTTCATATGATTTTTATGAACATTTTCATGTGATCTTTATGAACATTATTTCATGTGATGTTAATGAAAATTTATTTCATGTGATTTTTGTTAATAATTTATTTTATCTTTTATATTTTAATTTGGTTTGAGCCTGTAAACTTCAGTTTGCAACTTGGTAGGCCTTACCGGTCGTATTAGGTTTTTTAGTTTTTATAATAGGTTAGGTCAGACCTATAAATCAAGTCTTTAATTGTCTAATAGGCCAGTATAGGCTCTAAATATTTTACATAGGCTTAGCCTATCAAAGCCAAAGCCTGGTCTAACTTGACCCATTTATATCCCTAGTCGTGACTTGTGAAGAACATCAACGTAGATGGACAACAAATTTCACAATTAAAAGGAAACATGGAACAATCAGCGACAAATGTCTAAAATCATTTAAATTAAATTGGATCCACATAAATCATTTAATCAGTGTTTAGATATTTTAAAAACTTTAAAAATACAAAAAGGAAGAAGTTGTTAATGAATATGTACAAGAAATTTTCATACTCCATATATATACATATATCTTCATTGATTTTTCTCTTTAACAATTTCCACTGATTAATTGCCAAAATTTTCATTCTTGTTATGAAATCAAATACAAATAACACCAAGAAACAATTCAATTCCATTACCAATAGCAACTGTAGCTCTATATTAAAATAATTTTTTTTTTTAAAAAAAGGTAAATGTAAAACAACACTCCATTTGTCAAAAGAAATAAAATTAATAAATACAACCACACAAAAAAAAGTTATAAATAAAAAAAAGGGGCGTGAATTTCACTCATGTTAAAAACACCCAAAAAACAATTAAAGAATTTCTCTTTTACAAGGTTCAAAAATATAAATCATTTTTTTCCCCGAGCGGACAAATAATTACCAACACATATTCCAAGAACATGTATTACTAAAATCTTGAGAAAGGAACAAAACTTCGTAACTTGTAACAGAATGGCTGGATTCTGGGTGGTGAGTGCGAATAAGGAAAAAAAGTTAAAAGAAAACCCTAATTGAAAAAAGATGAAAGAAGAAGAAGAAATTAAGAAGAAAACAATTTGTTATATGATCATACACGCAAAGCAGCTTCAAATTTTCGTCTGTTACCATTGTTACAATTTTAGCCAAGGTCAACTTACAATTTTAACTAGGGTCCAATTATAATTATTTATATAATTATATATAATAAATAAAATTTGTTGAAATATAGCTGGGACTCAGGCCCTACCTAAATATAATGTGGCTACTGCATAAACCTTGTATAATGTACTTTTTGGTGGTCACTATAATTCTATATGAAGCCAAATACTTGGCATTGGTTATTGTAGTTACATCCATGATTGAATGTTATATTTGTTGCGTTTTGATTCCAATGTTATCCTTATCAAATGGTCTAGAAAACCATGTAATTTCCCAAGGCCTTAACAAACATTTATTTACAGTAAACTGGTAGGTATTAGAAATACTTCGTTCCTGCATTGCCAGACTGAATAGTACAGTTTTTTTTTTTTTGGTAATCAATAGTACAGCTTTTAAATTATATATGAAAATTCAGACATGAGAACTGAAATACAATACATGTGACATTTGATATGGATGTAACTCCAATAATCCATGCAAACTGTTTGGGTTTATGAGGGATTCTTAATATTGTAACCTTGCATACCAGATTAATTGAAAAATTTCCGCAGATAACTTATTTTGAAAGCCTTGTAGTTATAAAATTGTATATAAATTTTCTATGGATGAATAACATCATACTGTCTTGTCTTGAGCAATGGTTTAAAAACTGTATCGGAGATTGAACTGAGCAGACCTCTAAGTCATTGTTCGATTAGTTTAACAGTTAAATTTGCGGTTGAACCCTGGGACCGGAAAGAGCCAGTTCATGGGCTGACTGGTTCAACCAGCTAGACCGGTTCAGTTTTTAATATATTGGTCTTGAGTCTTGACCCTTGGGTCTTCTGCAACCAGTTGCTGTTTTTGCCTAGTTTTGTCGCACTTTGGTGGGTCCATTTCCATGACAACCAGTTTGGTGGAGGTATTATTTTTTAGGATTATGAGAAGGGTGTATGCTCCTAGATTTTTGCTGTTATTTTATTTTATTTTTTACTATTTGTTTGGTCCTTTTGCTTTATCTAGCTGTAGATGCTATGAAAATGTTAATTCTTGTCCTTTTTCTTTGCCTTGGCATTTATCTAATTCCAGGCATACTAACAAAGGTGCTGTTTCCTTTTCTTTTTTGTTGTGTATTCAGGAGGCCCACAAGCGGAGTAACAATTGGTTACCTCCTCCATGGGCAATTATGGCAATGGTCGTACTTGGTTTTAACGAGTTCATGCTTCTTCTGAAGTAAATATCACTTTCTAAAATCTTGAACTTTGAATTTATTTATTATTTTTATTTTTGTACTTTATTGGACCCTTTTTCCATCAGTTTAATAATTTCATTTTCTGATTTATATGTGAACCAGAAATCCTCTCTACCTGATGGTTATATTTGTTGTCTATCTAATCGTAAAAGCCATTTGGGTAGAATTGAACATAGCTGGAGAGTTTCAAAATGGCACTGTGAGTATAAGTGGACTGACTTTTTTTCTCTCATCTTTTCCTGCAATTGGATGCTTAAAATTTTGTGTTCTGGTGTTTCTGTGTGAATGAATGACTGTTATGATCAGAGCTATATGCACACCTACACGCACTAATTAAAGGCATTTTCTTAAAATCACCTACAATGCAAAAATTTTGTTATTCTCTAAATATAATTATGGTGATTAGGATTTACTAGTTCAAAATTGATTTACTAGTTCAAAATTTCTTATTTGCCTTGTTGACTTCGTTTTTGTTGGAAGTGGATTGTAAGTTGCAATAATAAATACAACATAAGAAAGTGATGGTTGAATGATGTTAGCTACTAAGGTGACCAGCACTATCTGATTTTTAATTTTTTTTTCTACTTACGCATATTTTGTTTGCAGCTGCCTGGACTACTATCCATTTCCTCAAAGTTTCTTCCCACAGTTATGAACCTTCTTAAACGTCTTGCTGAAGAAGCTCAGGGGAATCCAGCACCTGAAGGAACAGAACCACAAAGTTCAGCTGCTCAGATACACAGAAATCAAGTGCACAAACCTGATTTAGTATCAAGCACAATCACCAATTCGGCTGAATCCAGTGTTGGTTCATCTGGTGGTGATAATGAATACTCAACCACAAACTTGTCTCAGAGGCGAAGAACAAGCGTTCCAGAAGCTGAAATTTCATGACAATTTGCTTTGAAGACGGTTGGCATCAGAGTGGAATGTGCACCAGATAGGGTGCTTTTCCTAGATCAATTTTGTATCACTGTATAACAGTATTTTGCTTTTCTTAGTTCCTGTAACGCGTAAATTATCTGATTATATGAAGGACCCCTATTTGGGTTCTACTACAAAATATATCATTGTCCAATAGTGACAGAATAATTTTGTAAATTAAATTTCCTTTGAATTTTAGCAACTTTAAAATGTTTTTTATAATCTTATACCCACATGAACACGTGAAATTGATGATCATCTTCCCTGAGAAATCATTTACGCACCAAAATCGCATTTGCTTTTCACCTACCACGCAAACATGGAAAATATTTTATAATAGAAATTTTAAGTACCAAAATTTGAAATTGAAAATCTAGAGCTTAAAAACTGTGATGAAGTCATTTTGTACTTTCAACTTTAAAAAGAGTAAACACCCATTTTGCTTCCTAGCAAAAAACACGGTCCCTACTTTAGTCCTTTACAAAAATAAATTAGTCAGTTAGTCCCTAACAAATTCAAAGTGAACCTATTTAGTTGAAATCGTGATCCCTCACAAATTCAAAAAAGATCCATATTTGTCCCTCAAAAGGACTAAAATGGGTTCACTTTGAATTTGTTAGGGATTAACTGACTAATTTATTTTTGTAAGGGACTAAAATGAGGACCGTGTTTTTTGCTAGGGACCAAAATGAGCGTTTACTCCTTTAAAAAACAAGCTTCAAAGTTAAAATGTTTTCAATATTCATTTTAACTATTCTAAGCTTTTTGGGGTTTATTGCAATTATTTTTAAGGTTTTATAAGAGTTATGTTGTAAGAAAAGTGATTGTATAATGTTATAGAGATTCATTTTGCGTGTCACAATTTTTTTTTCTTCAAAAAGTGTGGACCCCACAAAATATTGTGTGTAGAAAATTTTGTTGTATCATGTTAAATGACAAATGCAAACCCTTATTTTTTATGCTTAAAATGGAACTTGAGATCTCTATCTGAACCTTCACCTATCTCAATCGCTTGAGCAGATTCTAAAAAATATTTTTCTTGTTAAGAATTAAATGAAAACTTTGTTAATAATAATAAATAATGAAGGAAGTTATATTTACAACCAATTTTCTCTTACAGCCTCTTATAACCATTTTTAATACCGTTCAATTGCTCTCATTTGATGCCATTTTATAATCGTTTATTTAATTTTGATCAAAAGGTAAAAAATAATTATAAGAGATCATAAGAAAAACATGACAATAAATATAACCTTTCTCATGCTAAATTACCAATTACAGGACCACAGAAATGGGCTTAAGACATACGAATGGTAATATACGAATTGAGACGGTGGCGACAGGTGTTAATTACCAAAAACGACTCGACCACTAACTCAGTCCCACGGGACATTTCTAACTCATCACGGTGCCGCTTTCAAATGTTAAAGAAAAGTAATACACAATCATTTTGTATCTACACTCTGCAAGAAGGATCTCAGTTCCATTCTGATACAAAAATATCACATCAGACAAGAACTAGTACTAGTAGCTACAATCATATTTACCCAGCAACTGCAGTTAGAGCTTCACAATCACCACAGCCAAAATCACTTAATAGTCTTTCCTTACACTGCTGAGAGAGAGATAACAGGTCATGCAATTACGAAAGCAAAAGCCACGTGTTAGTATAATTTGTCTCATCCAACATTGTGGAATTGTTAAATGAAGCACCAAACATGAACATGAAATGATTGAATTATCATACCAGCAAACATTGTCTCCGAAGACATCTATCTTAAACTCCCCGTCTAGAGGCCCCTTACCTTTGCCTGCAAGCAAAAAGCTTCAAATCCAGAGCAAGTGTGGTTATGTTGCGTTCATTGCAAATTTCTTGGGTAAGGTAAATTGACATAGAACTCTGGCACAGGAAAATTAGTATGGGAAACTTTTCAGCATCATCACATGTTTGATTCATGTAAACGAGCATTTTCTCTTAGAAAACAGAATTGCAGCCAAGAAAATTACCATTCAATCCTTCGGTTGTTTCTTGCATAGATTGCGCAATTTTGGAATTGTTAGATCTGCACCTCCAAACCCATCCATTGTAGCATTTGCCAATGGGAACTCAGCTCTAGATGTCAAACTGCAGGAAATAATTAAAATTAAGAAACAGTTCTAAGGTACACCAATTTAAAAATAAAAACAATCAGAATTCTACTGATATTAAGCAACTTCCAATGACAACATGCAATAGTGCAATTGTGTAAACCCATCCATTATATGTTCATTGAACTTCCAAGAACAAAGCAGTCACCTGCTCCGTAAAACAACGCATGGCATGCCCACCCGTATAGCGCCAGCCACTCCAGATTGGCTTCCTGCAACCAGGACACAGTTGCAGACAGGTAACCCAGCATATTCAGCTCCTGCACGTAGAGCAGCCACAATCTTGTCTAGACTGGACAGATGATCAACAAATTAAATGACAACTGAGTACAACATTACGATTTGAATATGTAGCTAAAATCCAAATCAATCATTTGTTTGACAACTGATAAGCTATTAAATGCTAATATATGTTCATATGCTCATATTCCAACGAGGTCATAGTTATACCATTTCATAATAACTGAGTGAAGCAAAAAAGGTAATTAAATGTAACTACAAAAATCCATCAGTAAAAACATAAGCTTATCAATTATCCGGTTCTTACTTTTTAAAATAAAAATAAAAATAAATAGGTTGGCCCAGGCTTCGTCGATTACAGAGGAGCAACTATTGGGTTCCATCTTGGGAAGTCTTGGACTAGGGTGAAATGCTCTCAGAGTACGAAAGCATGACCTAAGGGATATTATGAAGGCCATTAATTTGGCCAGAGAAGTGGAGGAAGAGCTACATGCCACCAGATCACCAAAGACGTGGAGAAAGAGATGAGTGCCATCAAACTCTTCACCTGGTCACAATTCCATGCTTCAACGTCAGGTTTCAAGAAGCACATTAATAGAGTAATTTGTCACACGAAAGAACCCATGGGGGCACTCTAGTGGGCTCACCCAATCTCATTCAAGGCCCAACACCTTCAGACCCAGTCAGGAGTGCTTCACACCCAATTCATTATTCAGACAAGGGCATGCAATGGGGCAAAGGAGCTCTAAATCAGCTAGCGACAAAGTCCAGTGGCAGTAGCAACTATCTACCAAGAAACTGAGGATTTTGACAACTTCCTTAACAGGAGTATCTCAGATGACATGAAGAAGGGCGATGCTTACGCTGCAGCCAACCATTTGGGTCATGCACTGATGCTCAGAGAAGAGCATGTGGGACTGTGGGTCACTAATCTTGGGGGAGACAGGCAATTGAAAGAAGATGGGGAAATTGTGGAAGGGCTCAGGAGGGACAATCAATACACAGTTTCCAAATTCCGTCTTTGGGGACAAGGTTGAACTTCAAGGGGAATGGTATCGACAGGATCTAGAAGAATCAATGGGAACTGAGTTAGACGGTTGGATGTCTGCTTAGTTCATTACAGTTAGAATCTATCAAGGGATATGTAGTTAGGCACAGGGGTTCAGGCTAAAAAACAGGAACAAGGTAGGAGGGAAGCATTCAGGAATTTAGGTTTGAGAACCGGGCAGTTGCTCTGTTGTGAATAGGGCAACCCTTAATGAAAGGGAAATACTTGCTTAAGTTTTTGTTTGTAATTCAATAAACACTACTAAAGTATTTTGATGGGAATTAGATCAGAAATTAGGGAATAGAAAGAAAAAAAATGAGTTTTTTTATTGATATGATCTCCCTTATCCCTGGATTAAGGGAGAAAAGGTTAGGAAGAGAAAGAATGGTTACAGAGCTACTATTACTACAGTATTCGAGAGCCAAGTCTCTCCCACACACTCAACTGTCATAACTGAATAATATCTTGATAAGATCTGACTCAGTTTATCAATTTAAGAAACAGAAAACTCAACAATCTTTTGGTCCAGAAAGGAATCTTTCCAGGTTTTTTTTCTATATATTGAAGAACTAAAATGGCATTACAATGAAGGAACTTCTAATTACTCTCTTCTATGCATTAACAGAAATGACAACTAAAAGAAAAAAGAAATTCACTCAGCACTTTCGAGAGGTGCAGGCTCTCCCATTCCAAGTCTAACTTTTCCAATGCCTTTTCTTCCCTCCGAGCCTTGCTCTAATACTTCTCTCAACAAACTAACACGTCACTATTTTCCTTACTCGCCTACTAACAACCCCTAACCGAATGATTCTCCAAGGCGTGCCCCTCTACAAGTTCTAGAATATCCTGAACCACGTCAGCTTTATTTGGTTTTTATTCCACGTCAGCTTTATTTGGTTTTTATTCCTCTAATGCGTTTCCTACCATAAGTACGCAACCCTTTTGTATCATATCTTGATAAGACACCTCTGAGGGTGTATAGTAGAAGACGTCACAGAGGATCAGCTCAAGGGGGGTCAGCTGAGGTGGCAGGGAATATTTTAGATGGAAGGAATTCAGTTAGAAGGGAAGGAGAGGCACATGATGTGAGGGCTGACGTGGCTGCCTTAAGCGAGTAAATGGTTATAAGGAGGGTGTGGCATGGAAGGAAAAGGCAGGCTGGATTTGGAATGAACTTGGGAGAGAGCACACCTCTCGAAAGTGTTGCATTCGTGACTGTTCATTGCGTTATTCCTTTATGCAATTCATAGCTGTAGCTGTTCTGCATTTCTTCTTGTTATTGTAATTGTTAGACAAACTATTTTCCTTCTTTCTTAGATGTATTCAGTTTTCATCATCAATATAAAAAATCCAGTAAGTTCTGGGCCAAATTCCCCTGTGTTTTCATTTCTTTTGTTGGCAATCTGATCCAGTCTTAACAACTGGTATCAGAGCACTCCGATCTGAGGTGCTTTGAATGGTTCTGACGCGCAACATGGACAACCGATTTGAGATTTTAGAAGAGAGGCTAAGAAGCAACGAGGCGTTGGTGGAGGAACGCTTCCGGCAGAATGAACAAAGACTCAATGAAATACTGCAGCTATTGCAAGACGACCGTCATCGCAGAGGGCACCGTAATCATGAGGGAAATCGTCGTCGTGGTCGCTCACGGAGGGTGAGCCTTGAATCCACAGAATCTGACAATAGATTCGAGACGGAGGCGGACATGCGTAGAACGGGATGGCAAAGCCCAAGACTAGATCTACCAAGATTCTCAGGAGATGATGTGTACTCCTGGCTGAACAAGGTGGAGAGATTCTTCTTAATTAATAGAATCCCAGACAGAGACAAGGTGGAATCTGTGATGGTGGTATTGGAAGGTCCTGCTCTGAATTGGTATCAGGTGTGGGAGCGCGACAACCCTAATGCGTCGTGGGCAGACTTCAGAGCAGACGCAATGGAGCGATTTCAATTGGAGGTGAGTGGAAGTCCCTACCAGGAATTAATGAATCTGAGACAAACTGGAAGTGTGGCAGTTTACAGGGCTGAATTTGAACGGATCATTGGCCCCCTCCATTATGCTGATGAGCATATGTTAAGGGAAATATGGCTCCATGGCATTTGTGACAGCTTCCGTATTGAGTTGTTGCAGAGAAACGTCACAAGTTTGGCTGAGATGATGAGAGAGACGATGCTGATGGAGAAACGGAACGCTGCGTGGATTGGGGATGGGTTTGGAATTAACGGAGGAGTAAGATGGGCTGGACTAGGTAGGACAAATCAGCCAAATCGAATTGGGCCAAGCTCAACGAGTAACAAACAAGGGCCCAATCACGCAACCCAGCTCAATCAGACGTCGAGAAATGACGCTTCTGCCCCTAATAATGTGGCTGAGAATAACACGCGTGTCTCTGGATTTGCCAATTTGGGGGAATCTGCTGGCATTGCACGAACCCTAGCAGATTCGACCAGTAATAATCAGAAATTTGTGGGACGGAGACTTTCCCAAACGGAGCTTCAAGATCGCATGCGTAGGGGAGCGTGTTTCAAGTGCAATGAAAAATGGAATCTGGAACATCGTTGCAAAAGTGCACAGCTGCAGCTCTTGTTGGTGAACGACGACGAAGAAGCCGACCGTCCAGAAGGGGAGAACATCCAAGTAGAAGAGGAGAACGAGACGGAGAAAGAGGAAACGTTGCAGCTTTCTATGTACAGCGTCCTAGGGCTCTCTTCGAACCAAAGTATGCAGCTATGGGGCTCCATCCGAGGAGAGCGTGTCACGATGCTAGTGGACTGCGGAGCGACTCATAATTTTGTGAGTAAGGCAGTGGCGGACCGTTTGTGTCTGGATGTTGAAGAGACCCTCACTTTTAAGGTGGAAATGGGGGACGGTTACAAGGTTACTAGCCACGGGATCTGCCGTCAGGTGGAAATTCTAATACAGGGCACATCCACGCGTCAGGATCTACGCATCTTCGAGCTTGGTGGGGCCGAAGTCATTTTGGGTCTCGACTGGCTGAAAAGTTTGGGAGAGATTCGTGCTGATTTCAACAAACTCACCTTGAAGTTCCTTGACGGTGACCGTGGAGTGGTGTTGAAGGGAGATTCATCTATAACCTGCAAGAAAACGACAGCTTCTTTTCGTTCAGCAATTAAGGCGTTGGCTGAGGACGGACAAGGGTATGTGATAGCTTCGATGTGGTCTTCTGTGGAGCAGAAGAAGAACACTGGAGATTGGAGAGAATTAGATGAGTTGCTCGCAGAGTATGAGGACATTTTTCAAGTTCCAAATGATCTCCCTCCAGCCCGAAGACAAGATCATGCTATAATCCTCAAACCAGGAAGTCAGGTGCCAAATGTTCGACCCTACAGGTATCCCCATTATCAGAAAAATTTAATTGAAAATTTGGTTGCTGAGTTGTTACAATCTGGGATGATCAGACCGAGTGTAAGCCCTTACTCCAGCCCAGTAATTCTAATTCGGAAAAAAGATGGTAGTTGGAGAGTGTGTGTTGACTATCGAGCCTTAAATAAGCTGATTATTCCTGATAAATTCCCTATTCCGGTCATAGAAGAATTACTCGATGAGTTAGGAGGCTCTAACATTTTTTCTAAACTGGATCTGAAATCGGGGTACCATCAGATTAGGATGCGTGAGGAGGACATTCCTAAAACGGCTTTTAGAACACATGAGGGCCATTACGAGTACTTGGTGATGCCGTTTGGGCTCACCAATGCTCCTTCCACCTTTCAATCTCTTATGAATGAGGTCCTCAAACCATTTTTACGCAAGTTTGTTCTTGTTTTTTTTGATGATATTCTAATTTTCAGCAAGGACCAAACTGATCATTTGGAACATCTTAAATTGGTGTTTGGGGTGTTGAGGCAACACTGTTTATTTGCAAACAGAAAAAAATGTAGCTTTGGGCAGGAATACATTGAGTACTTGGGTCACATAATTTCCAAAGAGGGAGTACGTGCTGACCCTAAGAAAATTGAAGCCATGACCAAGTGGCTTCCCCCTAAGAATGTGAAGGCACTTAGAGGATTTCTTGGATTGACCGGCTACTATAGGAAATTTGTGCAGGGGTATGGAAAGGTGGCTAAACCATTGACAGACTTGTTAAAGAAGGACAGCTTTGTTTGGTCAGCAGAGGCACAACAAGCTTTTGAACAACTGAAGACAGCTATGTGTTCCGTCCCTGTCTTGGCACTCCCTGATTTTACCAAGCCTTTTATGGTGGTGACAGATGCTTCGGGACGAGGGATAGGCGCTGTTTTGATGCAAGGGAATCGACCCATAAGTTTTATTAGCCAAGGGTTCTCACCTAGAGCTCAAGAAAAGTCTATTCACGAAAAAGAATTAATGGCTATTGTCTTTGCGGTGCAAAAGTGGAGGCCTTACTTGCTGGGCCGTCACTTTATCATTAAAACTGATCAGAAAAGTCTCAAGTTCCTAACTGAGCAGAAGTTGTTGGGAGAGGACCAACAGAAGTGGATATCAAAGCTGCTTGGGTATGATTTTGAGATCCTATATCAACCCGGAAAGGAGAACGTTGTTGCTGATGCACTTTCTAGGAACTTAGACTTATTTTCCTTGTCTTGTGTTGATGTTACAGCTTATGACCAAGTTGAAAGTGAGTTGCACAGGGACTCAAGAATGGGGATTATTATTCAGGATTTACTTCTTGACCCCCAAGCTCATCAAGGATTCTGTTTGCAAGGAGGGCGGCTGTTTTATAAAGGGAAAATGGTGCTGGCTAAACAATCTGCACTGGTTCCTAAAATTCTGTTGGAGTTCCATGATTCTTGCATTGGAGGCCATTCTGGGTTTTTACGGACTTATAAAAGGGTTGCTGGTGTAGTATATTGGGAAGGCATGAGAAAAAATATCAAGAATTATGTGGCTGCCTGTGCTGTATGTCAGCAAAGCAAGGCCCAAACTCTGTCTCCAGCGGGTTTATTGCAGCCTTTGCCTATCCCCTCTCAGCTTTGGACGGATATCTCCATGGATTTTGTAGGCGGGCTGCCTAAAGCTCATGGGTTGGACACAATCTTTGTGGTGGTAGATAGACTGTCCAAATATGCCCATTTTATTCCTTTGGCTCATCCATATACAGCTAAGGAGGTGGCTTTCCTGTTTATCAAAGAAATTGTTCGCTTGCATGGGTTTCCCTCTTCCATTGTAAGTGACAGAGATCGTGTTTTTATCAGCTCTTTTTGGTCAGAATTATTTCGATGCAGTGGCACGAAATTAAAATATAGCACGGCTTATCACCCTCAATCTAATGGTCAAACAGAGGTGGTTAACCGTTGTTTGGAAAATTATTTGCGATGTTTTTGCAGCCCAAAACCAAAAACTTGGCCAACTTGGCTCCCTTGGGCCGAGTTTTGGTATAACACATCCTATAAAAGCTCTACGGGTACAACTCCATTCAAAGTTCTGTATGGATGTGAACCCCCCACCTTGTTTAGATCCAGTTTCATGGCTTCCCCTGTGGATGAAGTTTCACAGCTGCTGCAGGACCGAGACTCTATTTTGATTGAACTCCAACAGCAATTGTCAAATGCTCAAAATCGTATGAAGGTTCAGGCTGACCAACATCGACGTGATTTGGAATTTGTTGTGGGTGACTGGGTGTATCTCAAACTGCAGCCTTATAGGCTTAAAAGCATAGCTAGAAGAGTGAACGAGAAACTCAGCCCGCGTTTTTATGGGCCTTACCAGATTGTTGAGCGCATTGGTGCCACTGCCTATAAATTAGCTCTTCCGGATGACTGTCGAGTTCATAATGTGTTTCATGTATCCTTATTGAAGAAAGCTATCTCCCCCTCTACTACTGTGCAACCTTTGCCTTCCATACTAACAGATGATTGGGAACTGAGAGTTGAGCCTGAATCTGTCCTGCAATGGAAAAAAACTGCACTTGGTCGAACGGAGGTCTTGATCAAGTGGCTACACTTGCCTGATTTTGAGAATTCATGGGAGGATTCCGCCCAGCTTAATTCCCAATTTCCCAATTTCCACCTTGAGGACAAGGTGAAAGTCATGGGGGGAAGTATTGATAAGACACCTCTGAGGGTGTATAGTAGAAGACGTCACAGAGGATCAGCTCAAGGGGGGTCAGCTGAGGTGGCAGGGAATATTTTAGATGGAAGGAATTCAGTTAGAAGGGAAGGAGAGGCACATGATGTGAGGGCTGACGTGGCTGCCTTAAGCGAGTAAATGGTTATAAGGAGGGTGTGGCATGGAAGGAAAAGGCAGGCTGGATTTGGAATGAACTTGGGAGAGAGCACACCTCTCGAAAGTGTTGCATTCGTGACTGTTCATTGCGTTATTCCTTTATGCAATTCATAGCTGTAGCTGTTCTGCATTTCTTCTTGTTATTGTAATTGTTAGACAAACTATTTTCCTTCTTTCTTAGATGTATTCAGTTTTCATCATCAATATAAAAAATCCAGTAAGTTCTGGGCCAAATTCCCCTGTGTTTTCATTTCTTTTGTTGGCAATCTGATCCAGTCTTAACATATCTCCTCTCTCCCCTTTCCCCTTTTTTCCTTATACCATTTAGACAAGTATCCTCGAATATCAAGTAACCCTAACTACTGTATCTACAACATAATATCAAGTAACTCTATCTACTATATCTAACAATATCAATTAATGTCAAGTAACTCTATGAATTATATCTAACAATATCAATTAATGTCAAGTAACTCTATCAACTATATCTAGCAATATCAAATAATATCAGGTAACTTTATCTACTAAATCTAACAATATCAATTAAACCCAACTCTTTTTACTAATAGGACTTAGCCCATCTAGATGCTTGGACCCATCCTTACTTCTCCTCACTTATACCTTTCTAATTGGGGGCTGCTACTAACATATTCTTCTTCCTTTCCTTTCTCTGTTTTTCTCATCTCTCTTTCTGTAAACTCAGAACCCATTTTTGGGTTCCTAACAGGAAGGAAAGGTTTAAGGCAAACCTGCTCTCCTTGGGTAGTTTTATAAAAGGAAGGGAAGAGAACGGCATATTTTCATGTGATCCTCTAAAACCCTCTCGTAATTTTTATAAGTTCCCCCAGTTTTGGAGGACTTTAAATGTCCAAATATGGAATTGAAAACATCACTTCACCCCCAATTCTCTTTCCCTCCCTTCTCATCTTTTTTCCTTTAATTTCTTCCCTTCCCCTGGAAGTATACCCTTAGTGAACCTTGTATCTTTTTAACAACTATGACATTGAGTCATACACAATTTTAGGTTTCTTTCTCCTAAAAGTATGGATCCCTAACCGTGCCCCAAAAAAATAATAATAGGAAAAAGACCAATATACTTTATTTTATTTTTTGCAAAAATTAGTGGAGGCAAATGAACTAACCTTTCAGATAACCCGGTATTAATCTCAACACTCAACTTTAGCATGGATGCTACCTCTTTTGCTAACCTTTGTCTCTCAGCAGAAGCTAGCCAAAATGGCAGAAATGAAAAGCTCCTTAGCAAACAACATTGTACACTAAAAAAGCGTGCATGAGGGACACAGACATAATGAACAACTCAAGAAGTATATACCTGCTCTTTTGGCTTCCTTGGCAAGCTCTTCATCCAAACCAGAAGAAATTACCTTTCCTGAGACAAGTTGGCCATATAAACTTTGCTCAACCTCCTTATTGCCCACAACAATTACCTTTATGCTTCGATCATTACCAAGCTTTTCCATTATGGTCCTAAAAATTTAAATAAACATAAGGCAAAAGAAAGGAAAGATTTGTGTGCTCACATTCTCCAGGAAAAAAAAAGGGTGCAAGCTAAACAAGCAAGAAGTCGAAATCAAACTAGTAGATTGAGGACCTCAGGGCCCCTTAAATATGGAAGTTTTTATAGATCTAAAAGAATATCCATTATATTAAAATAGAAAGCTATTATTCAAATTTGAACTGGCAACTCCACTGAACTTATTTCAGTCCTCAAATTAAGATTATTCTCTATGATTCTATAAGAAAAAAATGAAATAAAGAGAAAGAAAATAATGAAATATCTTGAGTTAGAGGACGGAGAGAGAGTTAAGACAATGATTGAATGGGAAAGTGCACTAATTGCATGCCTTAAGCAGTACCCAATACATATTTACAAAGATTATCATACCATCACTAAAGAATTCCACAAATAAGACCATCTGAAGACCTAGTAGTCCTCTTAAAGCTTACATGTACATACTATATGCTCCGAGCTTGTGCCAAATAAAGCAAATCCAAGCATATCCCACCCCCACCCCGTCCACCACCCAAAGAAAGATTTTGTAAGCAAATCAGCAAGCTGAGTTTCTGAGTGATCAAGAACATCTCTAGATAATGTCCACATAATCATAATATTATCCTATTTAGTACCACTGTAAAGCTTTGGAACTAAATATAAGTACCTGGCAATATCATCACCACTTTTAGTGTAGGCCGTTAATATTACAACTGGAATTCCTTCATTATATGCGTCATCAATAAACCTGTCAATGGAGACATTACGTTAAGGAATACAAACAATTACAGTCCCACAATCATCCAAGTTTCAAGAGATTGTTATCCTTAACTAATGTACATATTTCTCTCCTAACTGTACCAAAAGAATCCGGCTCTTCTTACAGATAGCTCCCCATAAATAAACACACATATGACACATACACAATCATATTTCATGAATGTAAGATAACTCACTGTTCAACACCAGGTCGTAAAGGTAGACTTTTTGACATCACAAACTCCTCCAACGCCTTTTCCTGCCAATACATGATAAAGTGTTAATAGGATGCTCTACAAGTTCTCATTACCTTATTCCCAATATGATTATTGAAAAATCATTTAACCATTTGCAGAAGGTTTTTAGCTTGCTAGGCTATACAACCTAATTCCTTAGGACTTCAATATCAAGAAAGAATTAATCGCATTAATAATTCATGATATCATTTTAATTAATAACAAAAGTCAGCGTATAATTCAGAATTAACATGTTTTGCCAAAAAATTAGATATCCCTCCCTCCAATTGGAATTATTTTCCCATCTATATTTCTTTTTACTTTTATTTCTGGAGCAGAAGAATTGGGGATAAGTAATTCTCTGAAAATCTCAAAAACAACAAAAAATGAAGAAAAGCAGCATATAATCCTTCTGAAAGCCTGATGGCATTCCTTTTAATCATCCATTGACTCAAAACCACATAGAAAATAGAAAAAGCAACCCTATCCAGAGAGTCAACAACCTATAGCATGTTTGGGAATAGATTGTTTTGGGGAAATAATAATTTATTTTTCAAAAGTTCTGCCAAAAAGCTTTTGATTAAAGCTATTTTGGCCCCAAAATAAGCTAATTCAAATACGCAACTAGGCAGGAGCTTTACCTTTCTAAATTTAGACAGTAAACATTTTCTCAAATAGAAGATTAGTAAGGAACCAAAAGAAAAAATTACAAGTATATGACCCACAAGAATCCAAAATCCAAACCCTTCGATCTGTTTTTCTCGCCTCAAAATCAGGATTCATCCAGAAAACCAAGGTGAGACGGCTGATCAAAAGCCTCCCTATATCAATAGGTTTTCAAATGACAGGTATATACTTTTTACAAATTCTATTTGATCCCTCTCCCTTCTCCAAATTACGGAGTTGTTTGGTTTTCAAATTAAGAAGTCAATTGAATTATGAAATACAACTAGTTTGGTTTATGCCATTGAGGTTGGTTTTAATGGTCAAATTAATGGTCTCAACTCTCAAGCCAGCTTCCCTTGTGGCCAAGACTGCCTTTGTTCGCTTCTTTCTATATTTGGCCATCAATAGGATTGGCCACTTTACCAGTTTGACATAAAAATGCCTTTCTTCATGGAGAGCTTCCTCAAGAAGATTATAGGGGAAGTCTGAATTAGGTTGCTGTTTGGGTTGCTTTATTCATTTCTAAATCTTCTCCATCAGAAACTTCAAATGTTGTTTCTTTTCTAAATAGAAGCTTCAAAACAGAGCTAGGTACCCGATATTTTCTACTAAATTGTTGTGGTAGCAAAAAATTGGCTTTAAATTCCTAAACAATTAATAATATCATATTGGTTAACACTGACCACTAATTTTTTCATCATTAACACAACAGTTGATTTACTACTCCAGCATATGCTTGAAATGGAAAGAAAAAAAGGCTTCTCTGCTAAGAGATATGTTCTGGTCTTTTTAAAGTTTAGTATTACACTAGAGAGGCATAATAGATCTTTCATTATAAAGAGAAGTTCGCAGGAATCAGGACAGTTTAAGCAGGATATCCGAAGATTCTATGTTTATCATCATTAACAATACAGTCCTACTTAATTAAGTGGATGTAATATAAAGAACATTAATTATTAGTAGTATACCATTCATCAAGATCTAGTGTAAGGATGATACCTTTTCCTGCAAAACACTTTTTGTGAACTGTCCATTCTCATTTGTGGGTAATGAAGTAGGCCACCCAATCTGCATATTAGAGACAATGACAGCAGAATATGGCTTAACTAATATTTGCAATGAAGAAAACTATTGAAAGTTACCAATAAGCTAGCATTGGTTTTTTTTTTTCCTTACTACAGACAAAAGACTGACAACTTACTCGATTAAAATACAAAAATAGCATCTTTTCCTCATCTCCAGCACTTCTCCTGGAAAGTTATTAGAAAATGGTTTACAAGCAACACAGGTAATCATTCATATTGATTTGCAGCACTCGAGAGCGAAGAAGTTCTAACATTTAATGACCCGAAGAAGCTTCCAGGGTTTTGAATTGCAGACCGCATTACGTGATGCAGCCGCAACATCTCCGTTTTGTGGTAGCCACCACAACCATATCAGGCCATGATTGCGGATCACATTGGCCCGCATCAGCCCGGAACACAACCATGACTGCAACAATTTAAAACCCCGGAGACTTCAATGAAATGCAATCCATTTATTAACATAAAGCCAAGTGTGTCATCATCTTCCCCATTAGAAAGTAGTTACGCATGGGTAAATAAGTCAATCCGTTGACTTATAACCAGTTGGAAATCCAATCATACATACATGCATAGGCAAGAGAACAATCTAATAAATAAACAAAAAGAAACACACCTTAAAAGATCTGAATAGATAGGCTCAGTCCAGTTTGCACAATCAAGCCCAAGCTTTTCAAATGCTGCAGGCAAAAGAGGTCAACTATGTCGCATTACACTCACGAGAACACAGAATCCCAAACACATAGATAATGGATGCACAATTGCTCATACCTTTATTAAAGGCTTGGCGATTTCCCACGCGGTGCGCATCCAAAAGAACCCTAAAATAACAACAAGTGAAAAAAAAATAAAAAAAATGAACAATACAATAATAGCTTGAACGAAGTAAAATGTGAACAGAATCATGGAACAAAGTGAAACAAGAAGAAGAAGAAGAATCACCCGTCGACTTCGAGAAGGACAGCAAGGTCTTGAGATGAGTTGTTACGATGTTCACTGGATAACGCAGAGAAGGCAGTGAGGCGCGAAGATTTTCCGGGTAAATCGGAAGAGGAAAATCGATGGGAAAGGGTGGGAAAGTAGCATTTGTTGTTGTTGAATGTGCATGTAAGGCGAAAACCAAAGCGAAAGCGAAGGCGCAGTTTATGTGTATGTGTATGTGTATGTGTATGAGTGTGGAGTATTGAACATGCCACTGCTTGGGTTGTTGCCATGGAAATCCCTGCTCAGTTCGTTACTCGCTACACGGTTCGCACTGGACCGGATTCGATCCTATTTCTCAGCTATGATATTTTTCAAAGCCGTTGATCCATATACGTCATATTCTTTTTTCTTTTTTTCTTTCTATTTCTACAAACTAAAATTGTTTTAGGTTCAGTGCAGACTAAAGAGTGAAGAGTTTGTACCAAAACCAAAAAAAAAAAAAGAAGAGTGAAGAGTACGAGAACAGTTGTTTTTTATAGGCTTTTTTTTATCACCGTACCTCTTATTAATTAAAAAATAATCAATTTCTCCTTCGTCTAAAACATTCAACAAATCTGCTTATAGTTGCCCGTTGACGGAAGATTTAATCGATTACATATTCAAAAAAAAACTTTGACTGTTGACCCCGCAGGTAAATCGATTACACTACAGTAGTGTAATGGATTACATAATACTCAGAAACCCTATATCAATGTGTCTCGATCTCATTCACTTATATCTATTGTTACACCAAAATCTCTCTCGTTTCTCATCTCTATTCCAATCCGTTAAGATTTTATTTCATCTCACCATCTCTAAAGCCTTAATCTTGTGAAATCATTGTCATTACACTTCCATTTTTCATTTTTTTTGGTAAAATCTAAACCTAAACCAAACCCTAATCTCAATTTCGTGTGAAAGATGAGCTCAAGTTCAAATACCTATATTACACTTATCTACCATAGTGGGAGACATTTTGAAGGTTCCAATGGTGTCCAATTTGAAGGAAAAAAGAAAATGATAAAAATCAAATGGAGCGCTACATACAATGAGCTCAAAGGGAGAATTTACCAAAAATTGGGGCTACAAGGCAGCCAATGTATTCATCGGTTAATAGCCAATAATGATATCTGTGATGATGAAGATGTAGAATGTGTCTGATACGATCCTAGTCATCAAACATACACAACTACTGCCTCGTCAGCGAGGAGTTTCCCAAATTACCCGTAACAGAATGGAAAGCATGGAGGTGACTTGATGTTAGTTATATACCGAGGGAAGGCAGCATGGTGGGGGGATCTGGGAAAAGTATATTGGAATTGGACCTAGGGAGAGAGTGAAGCCTCTCCAATTGCTTCACAACTATCCTTTACTGTATTTTCTTTACTGTTACGCATTTCCAGTCTTGTAATTGTTCATTTTCTTGTAATTTGTCTCTGTTTACTGACATAGGATTTGTAATTGTCTTTAGATTTCCATACATAGATGAAAATTCTGGTTTAACCGGCCAAAAAGTCTTGGTTTCTTTGTTATTAGTTGATTATTCCTTATTTTCAGTAAATGTCTGTATCAAATTGGTATCAGAGCTCGATGTGGGAGCTGTGATATCTGATTAAAAAATGATTCCAATGTTTGATGGAGTGGAAGCTTATAGATGGAAGATTCGGATGATGCAATACTTCAAAGTGAAAGGAACGCCGGAAACTAAGAGAATTTCAAAAGCTGCAAAGGGAATAAAAGGACAAGAACGCATCTGGTACATTTTCTGGAGGGCGTCAAATTTGAAGGCAAGTTGGTGGGATTTCTCAAAGGCGATGCTAAAGGAATTCCAACCTGAATACTATCTTGATTTATATCTTTGTGACGAAGAGAAAGGCAGGGGCCGTTTAAATTCAGAAATGGAGAGGGAAGGAAACTTGGTGATAAAAAAGAAAGAAACACCAAAACTAGAGAAGTAGGAAATCGTGAACAGAAAGATTTGCTGGGAAGAACATGATACATAATTGGAAATGCATAAAAAAATCAGTGCTGGAGAAGCACGAGAAAGTAGATAAAGAGTATGAGAACAAGGTTTTGGATGTGCAGTTGTCAGCAACAACACAACTACTGGCGGTGGTTGTCAGCCTTCCACCATTGCCTGAACCATCAGACAGGAATCTTCAGGGAAAATAGATGACTACAAAAGAGGAAGGGGAGCTGTTAGCGAAGGTGGTGCATGAACCACCGAATTCACAAGCATTAGAGGAGGTGGAGCATCCACCGCCATTACATAAACCGCCAGACTTAAAGCTCCTTGTGAAGATGTACGTGTCTTCGTGTGGCAACCAATGGAAAAAGATGAGAATAGAAAATTATTGGCATTACAACCTAGGGAGAAGACGACATCACAAATACACAAGACGCTAGATGAGGGAATTAGGTCAGAGGAGGAATTGGGTCAAATTAGAAAAGTGGCCCAAACTATTAACATGTTATTTTCAACCCAACCCGGAAGAAGTTTTAGAAGAAATTATGTTTTAGTGACAGATTGGGCTTGCAAGCCCAATGACCCATTTGGGCCGGGGTAATTTGGAAAACTCCTAGCTGACGTGGCAGTAGTTGTGTATGTTTGTTGACTAGGATCATATCAATACTTCCCCCTTAACAATCACCTTGTTCTCAAGGTGATGTTTAGCCCCCAAGCACCTTCTACCTGGATCTCATTGCTTGAATTGTAAACCACAACTTATGACAAAAATGCAGTGACTACCTCTGGGGTCCCATAGCCTATCCACATTAGCTCTCAATGCTGAACGCCTCGTTGTTTGATTTCTGAACTTAGAAAAATGGTTGAATACATCTTCCTTAAAACATAAGGTACCTTTTCCCCTCTTGAAAATTCAAAGAATAAATATTCTACTAACCCACTATTGTGACTCACAGAGATGGCATTCAATTTCTCTAAAATCAGCAGCCATACCAATCGATGGAGCATTTTCGCAAAAACATTCGAGCCAAGGAACAACTAAGTTACCAATCAATTGAACATTATTTGAAAATGAACCCGCAAGTGCCTTAGCAGCAATGACAATCATTGAATGAAACTTGAAAACAGATTTGGCAGCCATAAATCGATTCTCTGCCTTTACACCTACGTGAAGCTTGAAAACAGACCTGTATGAGGACTGATCAGCTGCAAAAAATAGCAATGCTGATGGCCTCTTGGGTGTATATTCCTTCTTCATAATAGCTCCAGGCAAGTCGAGTTGAGATGATAAGCACCCATTAATGACCCTTGGAGCTTGCTTTCGATAACATGCCTCCCTACAATAAATCCTCTTCATTAAATCAGTGCATATAGCTGCAGCATAGCCCCTTTTGTTCCAAAACATAGCCATATCAAGGAAGATCATCGGGTCGGTAATGTTCGTAAACTGTGCTCCCTGCTCGTCGATGGCTGGCGCTGAAGGGTGTTGTCTACTCTCCTCCTTTCTTTTGGTAATTTCATATTTCACTTCCCAACTTTTACATTGATAGGAATATAATAATATTTCCTTACACTTTATTTTTCTTTCTTTCATATTTCACTTTCTCTTATATTCTCCATCAAATTCACAATTTTTTTACTTATATTATGTTTATAATTTATTTTATATTTATAACATGGATTCATTTTTTCTGCAGTTACTACAGATAAGTTATCTGCAAAGCCCAATACCACGTCGTTTTGGAGTGGAAATCATGGTATTTTTATAATTTCAATATATTTCAGAATTATTATAGTCTTTATAATTTAATTTTTTAATTTTTCAATTTCAAAACGACATTGTTTCAGAAGTAAATGCAGATAACTTATCTGCATTAACTGGAGAAATATTTTTTCTGTTATAATATTTAAATATTTTATATTTTTTAGTTTTTTAAATAATGAAAGTATTGATGAAGAAAAAAAATTGATCCGCGGGCTAACCTTAACCTATCTTGCTAAATTATAGGGCTAAAAAAAATCCTAACACAAAAGACCCTAATGCGTTAGGGTCAAATATAGGGCTTTGCGGATTGGCCCGCAGGCTTCAGCTTCGGCCCATTTTGACACTTTTAGATATTTATCATAATTAGAGAGATTGTAATTATGTTTTTACCAATTAAACCAAATTTTGTGAGAAATATAAAATTTTCTCTATTAGAAATATAATATAAATCATCTGTGTTATAAATAATATTGATTGTTGGGCTGTCCATGATCGTTATAACCGTTGAATGTTCTGTAACCACGGAATAAGTAATTGTCGTCATTTATCATATATTGTAACCGTCCTTGTTTTTTGATCCTATAAATAGAGACATCAAAGGACATGATAATACAATAAGAATATATTTCCTCTGTCTCTCTTATCTTCGTGTTTTCTCCTAATTATCTATATTTATTTTACAACAATCTGGAGGTTATTTCTTTAGTTATTTGAAGAATTGATTGTTTAAAAGTTCAATATTTTGATGAACAGCCCAACTTATCTTTCTTTCTTTTTTCTTTTTAAATTTATTTTACTTGGTCTTTTATTTACAAGTTACAAGCTATGATGCACGGACACGGACACGGGACACGACACGACACTCCGACACGTTAATTCTAAAAAATGTTAAATTTCGACACGTTGAGACACGTTTTGATATTAAATAATATTTTTAATATATATAATATAATTTATATTTAATACATATAGCAACTCATATACTAATTAAATATTCAAAAGTTTTGTTTATGTTGGGACCTTTTATTAATTAAGAATGTATTTATTAATTAACCGACCAAGAGGAAGGAAAGAATAATACTAGAAGTATAGAAGTCAAAGTTAGGAATTCAAAGTTGAAAGCACAAGGACCAATGAGTCGATGGTGAGCAGTAAAATCACATGGGAGCCATCAGCCCATGCTGGCTAGGCAGTAGGCACCCTCCCTCTCTTGGGTTTCGCTTCCTTTTAAAATATCCCAAAACCATTAACACAATTCAAATCTGCAGAAGATGAAGAAAGTAAGAAAAGAGGCACCATAGAATGAACGGGGTATCTCTGTCGAGCTTGATGAGGAGCTTCTTGGCAGGCTGAGCCGGAGGAGGAGCTATATTGATCTCCGCTTCCATTGCCTATATTATTACCGGAGACGACGACGAACCAACAAAAAAGAGAAAGCTTCCAGCGCGAGAGAGGACAAGAGGATAGGATTTCTGACTTTTTATTTTTATTAAATATTTTGTATCGCGTGTCGGACTCGGTCAAATTCGCGTGTCCCATTAGTCAACGTGTCCTAAAAAGTTGACCGCGTATCGGACGCGTATCCAAACGTGTCCGTGTCGGACACGTGCATTATTTCTCAAAAAAAGCGTGTCCGTATTTCACAGGTTACAAGTCTGCACTCTTAAGTTCTTCAGTGACAACACAAATATTTGCACGCTCATCTATAGAAGCTAGGATGAGAGGGAAAGTAAACTAAAGTGAAAGAAGCACTTGAATGTCATGTCATCGAAATGTGCTCCATTATGTCCTGCATAACTTAGTGGACCGAAAATCATTTTGGGCCTTGGATGTCAAGGGATCCTTGGTGGACAAGGGAGATAGATGATGGATAAAACTGATTGCATGATTTGTCATTGTTGGAGGATAGTGTTAAATCTTATCTGCACCTTTTCTCCTCCGTGACAAAAACATGATATCCATGTTAGCCATGCTTGGTTTCTTTGTTCCGGGAAGGGCGTTGCAAAAAGGGATAATAGGGACCCCTCATGTATAATAATCTAGTGAATATATCATTTTGTATTTTGTATTACCTTTTGAACTGCAAAAAATTGGCCCCTTTTTAAGTGCGAAGAAATTTGATGGCCTTGAGCACTCGAGGATACAACATTCAACAAACAATTGATATTTCACAATTAAGGGTGTAGTATTGTCAGTCTTTTTATATCGTATTAACAATTCAAAAATGATCAAAAGAAAAAGTCACTATTTGACAGAATTTCTTTATGAGAAAAACAAGTATTATGCTGTAGGAAAATTTTTAGGTCATGTCATAGATACAGTCAATTGTGGGGTCCATTATTTTTAAAATAAAATAAAAATAAAAGAATTGATGGATCCACTTTTATTTTTGTGTAGAAAAATTGCTTATGTCATGTAAAAAGAGGAAAACATTACCCTTTCTTTTTAGAGGACCGATATACTAACTACCATTATTTTTTACTACCACTTACTACTTTCTTATTCACCGTTAGATTATCATATTAATCAACGACTGTTACTAGTTTTAAATTTTTGACACTCTCTCTCTTCTTTCTCAGTTTTTTCTTCTCCCCACTCTTTTGTTTTCATTCTCTTTTTATGCTTCCCTCTCGATCCGCCACCAACCACTACCCACCGCCCACCGCTTCGCCACTGCCCTCTGCCACTGCTCCGCCACCGCTACCAGCCCAACCGCACTTCCCTCTTTTTATGCTCCTATTCTTATCTATTACCCTTGATATAATAATTATTGAATCAGTTGAGAGGGGTCAAATTAGTAAATCAACAGAACGCGGTCGATTTATAAAACCTGAAACCCTAATTGGAATTTTTTGGCCGCTCAAGAGATAGTGGGAGAAGAGAAAGAGAAGAAAATGACGATGAGGTTCAAGAAGAACAGGAAGAAGAGAGGCCATGTCAGCGCCCTGGAGGTCGTGGCAACGCCGGCGGCATGCACCACCACCGAATCCTGTTCGACAAATATCACCCAATTATTTATTATTTTCTTTTCTTTTCTTTTTCGTTTTCTTTTTAAATTTAGCATCTGTATGTTTTATTATTTATTTTAAATTGATTTATTTTTTGCTCCTTAGTTTCTAATGACAGATATTCAATTCATAAATGGCTCTGCTTTTCAATTTTCGTTTCCCCTAACCTACTTTCCTTCTTAGGAAATTATTTAATAATAGTAATAACTGTTGAGTGTGGTCTTGCTAGCACAAGATAGTTTGAATTAAGCATTTTAGAGATGGAAAATCATAAATGTATCAAGCTATTATGTATGCCAAGATACATTGCTTTGTTCCCTTTCACTGTTTATATTTCCCCCAATTCTGTTTAATTCTCTTTGCAATTTTCTGCATTTTCTTCATTTTCTCCCTAGTTTTCAACTGAATCTTTAAGGTTTTCCAATTTATTGGTTTGTTTGGTTTTCCAACTTGCAGGGACAAGGTTTTCACGATTAACTGCTGACATTCACTTCATCGGCTTCTTTATGGCAGAGTCACAGATCGATTAGAAGAATTAGGCAAAGATATAGCTTTGTTACAATTCACATTGGTAAATACATGTGACAATTAGTTCCAAGAGTTACTTCAAAAGGAGACAGGGTTCTTTCAAGGAATTAAAAGCTTAATTTAAAAGATGTTCAATCTTCTTACTAGCACATCACCTGTTTGGCTGCATATATAAGCATGCATTGCACTATTTTGTTTCATGAGTCACCTGTTTGGTAATGATATGTTAATGCATACAGTAGCCTGCAAGCTAGCATACCATCATACTGGCATGATTTAATAAGTAACCACCTAACCAAATTGGCATAAAATCACCGATGACATTATGGACCCAAGTCACATAAAGCCAACTTGATTATATTTAAACTTTCATTGTCACTTTCATTTCCTAAAACTTTTCACTAGTTTATATTGTTGACATTGACTAGAGCTGGCTCTTGTATATCTCTTGCTATAAATATTACTACATTGGTAATTGTCTTCATCTTCCATATTATTTTTATAGTCCCAATAATACTAACACTGTAAGATCTGTTTTTCACGTCTTGTATATATCTTCTATATGTTTATTACGGAAATTGAGTTTCGTGCAGGTATAATAATAGGCAAGTGCAAGCCTCGCCTGCAGTATTAATTAACTTCTCCAATCAACAGAGAACAAGTGGAGAGAAAAGTATCTCCCATATTGCTACTGGCTGCAACTCAGACAATTCCACACCTAATGTGCAAAGATGTATTATGCCTCCAGCTACAGCCCAATCAAAAGAATCTGAATTCGCAACCTCACAATCACAGCAAGGGTATTCTCTCCCAATTCCAGTAAAAGGTGTAAGGTTCAATGATCTATGCACACCCTATGGTTATGTATTTCCTCCAGTGTTCCATACACAGTCTGGTCCACCATCTATGCCAAGTCCAAGTTCAGCTGTGCTCCTTCAACCAACCTTTCAAGTAAATGCATTTTATCAGTCAAATACTAAAGAAAACAGTTTAGAGCAGCTTTATGAACCTTGTGGTCCAAACGGAAACAGCGCCCCAAACCACATTGTGTACACGCAGGAACACAGTTCAGGAGCACTTTCATGGCTACTCTCCTACAGTAGTTATGTGCTACACATGGATGATTTTTTGATATGCACATGGATATTTCTGGAGATGCACATGGCTGATTTTGGATATGCACAAAGCTGATTGTTATTTGGAGATGCACATGGCTGATTTTTTCAGATGCATATGGCTAATTGTTGAAACAGATTCAGTGGATTTAAGGACAACTAATGAGATTCAATGTTATTTATCAAATGTAATTTTTATTTATTCAAATATTGTAATTCAAGATTGTTATTGTTAATGAGATTGTTACAATGATATTATGACTCATTTCATCTCTGTATTGGATATTATGATTCATTTCATTTAATTTCATCTCTGTATTGGATAAAATAATAAGAATCAAATGCTATAAAGAATAGTGGAGAAGAGCACAAAATAATCCTTCTAATTCAGCATCTACAAAAAATAAATTTACATAAACAACGACTGCAGTATCCATTGGAAGTCATTCATAATACAAACTTCATTCACCACTTTAGCTATACAAACTTCATACAACACTCAGTCTCTCATGTCAAGATCTGATAACAGTATGCATGGACAGCAAAAAATATATTCCATACATCCTTGAGAGACCAGCTGTACACTCAAACATATGACCATCTTTTAGGGCACCAAATTTTGCTTCTGTCAAAAGAAATAAAAGTCAAATAGTTAAATCTGTCAAAAAATCTTTGAATTTACATACAGCAAAGTACCTACCTCCAAGATAAGCATTAGGCAAAAGAAAACACAACCTAGACAAATATGATAGACCAAATAGACCAAACATCATTTATCACCAAGAAAGGAATGACAAGCAAATGCTAGTCTGCCAATAAAATCAAAAGAGGGTAAAAAGGAATAGCTTAGCATACAAACATAATTTATGCACACCTCAAAATTAACTTCAACATCAGTTCCATTTTTTTCTTTGCATGTACGCTTATTATGTCCTCGTTTCTTGCAATGTCCACATATATTAGTATGCTTTGATGCTTCTTCAATCCCACTTTGAATCCTTTTACGGCCTTTAGTTTGTGAAATGTTAGGATCCTTCAAGTTCATAATGGAAGACTCTTCGAGTTGAGAATCCAAAGAATGTAAGTTGAAATCCTCTAGACCCTCACTCTCCTCAGATATTAAACACTTTTCTGCAAACGTAGCAAGAGAGTCAACACCATCATTAATGATTCTAAATGCCTTGTGTGACCTTTTTGCAAGCTCAGCAATTCTAGACAATTTAGAGCTTAGCTGAAGGTTCTGAAGGAGTCCATCTCCAGGAGAAAAACATGTGTCGTTGTATGAACTTAGTATATAATTTCCTTCCTTGCTCCAACGACGCAAAATGAAATGCTCAGGAATTTGATAAACACCTTCAACAAACAAAATAGCAAGAATATGCTTACATAGGATTCCCATGAATTCAAAATATTGACAAGAACACCTAGCTTCTTTATCATCCACCTTTGTCTCCACTGTTGCAGAATTTTCTATATCTTCCATATTAAAAACTCTATAGGTAACCCATTCTCCGTCATTTCCAAGTTTCTCCGTAGAGTATTGTAAACTATCACACAGCTCTTTGCTGAACTTGTCAAAAATATTAGAGGTATATTCTTTAGTTGCATGTCTCTCCAATGGCATATTCAATACCAAACGCCTTTCTTTGTGCATAGATTCAAAGTTTTCCCTTCTAAAAGACTCGTAGCGAGTATCTACAGCTTGATTATATTTTTCCACAAATTCTTTTAATGTTGTACCAGCTGTAACAAAACCATCAAAGAATGAATTTATACTTTCACTCCGCTGCGTAGTGTTCATACCAGCAAAGAAAGTGGACCTATTAAATATTGGTACCCAAGAGGATCTAATTGAATATAGTGTATGCAACTACTCATTTCCATCAAGACCATACTTAACAAGAATATGATTCCATCTATCATCAAAGTCTTCAGTGCTTTTGGAGTTCCAAACACTCTGATGTATTTGATTACCAAAAGATGCATGCTCATGATAAACACGGGAAAGCTTCTCTGGAATTTTTTTCATAATATGCCACAAACAAAATCGATGTTTGGCTTTTGGAAAAACTTTGGATACCGCATTGGTAATTGCCATGTCCTACAAATTCAATAACACATGTAAGTATGCAATCAGTAATGTATGAAACAACTCAATAAAATGAAATTAAATTGAATGTACTTGGTCAGTAATTATAGCAATCAGATGTTTCCCATTCATTGCTCGAAGCCATTCCTCAAATAGCCAAACAAAAGTTTGCTCGGTTTCATCTTTTAATAGAGCACATCCGAACAAGATTGACTGCAAATGATTATTTACCCCAACAAAAGGTCTAAATGGCATGGAATACTTATTAGTCCTATATGTTGTGTCGAAGGTGATGACATCCCCAAAAAGCTCATAAGCCTGCCTAGACCTTGCATCAATCCAAAAAAAGCTTTCCATGCGATCATCTTCATCACACTTGATGGAATAAAAAAAATTTGGATTCATTGTCTTTTGTTTAACACAATAATGTAACACAGCTTGTGCATCCCCTGCATCATATATTTTTTTTCTCACATTTTTCATATGATTATAACAATCTCGGCTATTAAACAATACATCATTGCCTCTAAGGATAGTGGCAACCTTTCCGATGGGAAAACCCGAATCATTGAATTTTTCTATCAATGATTTTGCAGCAGCAGGCATTTTTTGTGTGATCTCAGATATGAAACATTCATTGGAGAAACCAAACCATGATTATGGTTGTCAGAAAAATATGTAATTCTCCACAATTTTATTTTTTCATTTGTACAAGCCTTAATACAAGCTTCACACCCTATGCGTGCTGATGATGTCCTCCTTATCAAATTTCCGTGAGAAACTTGATCAACACTCTTTTTTTTTTTGTTCTGCAAAACCCTCTCTAGCACATGTTACCTTGATGTAGTTCTTCTTAGTTGTTCTAACCCGAACTCCAAAACCTCTTGTCCTAGCAAATGTTGTGTATAAGTCTAATATATCCTTTCGTTCAGAAAATTCCATTCCAACCTCAATCAAACAATCAATATTCTTTGTCGGCGTCAACACAATACTATTTGACATATTGTTAATTGGTTCATTCAATATGTCATCTCCCAATTTATCAAGCATGTCATCTTCATTCTCATTGAAGTTTGCAGAATTTATTACATCTTCATCCATGCTTCCAAGGTCACTAGATACCTAAAATAATTGACTATCGAAATTGAAAATGAAAAAAATAAAGCAAAATCAGTATTTATAGAAACAAAAATAATGCAATGTGCGACACTGTAGCATCATAGACCAATGATTTTAAGCTGATTGAACGAATTGAGAATATTTAGAAAGATGGATTAATAAAGAAAATTATAAAAGGAAAGAAAGAACCAAATTGAAAAAATAAAAATAAAAAAATAACCTTTGCAGATTGGAGATTCGAGCTCCCTAAATGCAACTGTAAAAGTTTATCTTCAGCTACATTTCTCTTCTCTCTGTCTTCAACTGACCATTGCTTAAGTATATTAAAACCAGAAAATTAAAATCAAATGCTTGAGAGATGACTGAAGAAAAAACATATAGACACCTTCAAGTTTCGAAAGACGGAGAAAAATTCATGCGCGAGAGTGCGAGAGTCCCAGTAGCTTCCACTTCAGTTCCGGATTACTCTCTTCCACTTGTGTTCTTGCGTTCTTTAGCTGGTGACGGTGGCAGAGGGCGGTGGCGGGGCGGTGGCGGAGCGGGAGGGAAGCATAAAAAGGGAGGGAAGCATAAAAAGAGAATGAAAACTAAAGACTGGGGAGAAAAGAAAACTGAGAAAGAAGAGAGAGAGTGTCAAAAATTTAAAGCTAGTAATGGCCGTTGATTAATATGATAATCTAACGGTGAATAAGAAAGTAGTAACCGGTAGTCAAAAATAATGGTAGTTAGTATATCGGTCCTCTTTTATAAAAGGGTAAAAGATTTTTCCAGTCACCGGAGATAAAGTTATTTCCAGTGAGCTCAAAACGACGTCGTTTTGGGGCGGAAAACAAGGTATTTTTGTAATTATAATATATTGCAGGGTTATATTAGTCTTTGTTATTATGATTTTTTAATCTTATAATCCAAAACGATGTAGTTTTCAGCTCACTGGAGATAACTTTATCTCCAGTGACTGGAGAAATACTTTTCCCTTTATAAAAAACAGAAATTATAACTATTTTTTTGTTTTTAGAATTAAATTTAGAGAACATATTTGAGTTATTTTTATTTTGTGTTTTGACTTTTAATTTTAAAAAAAATAAAAAATATCTATTTCATTAACTATTCTACAAAACAGTTTTAAGAAAAAAAATTCAGAAAACGATCAAACATAACCTTAATCTTTCGAGCACATAATGCTTAATAAAAATTCTCTTTTCATAAATTCACCGAGCTTTTTTTGATTTCATCTTTGTTTGTGCTTCTATCTTTCAAGCATAGTATCTTTTTTTTAAGTAAATACCCTTTTTGATCTTCAACAAATTTCATGATCCTGCTTTAGTTCCTAGCAAATAAAAAGACTATTCGTGGTTCCTAAGAAATTCAAAATGGATCCATTTAATTGAAATCGTGGTCCCTCACAAATTTAAAAAAGACTCACATTAGTCCCTCAAAATGACTAAAATGGGTCCACTTTGAATTTCTTAGGAACCACGAATAGCCTTTTTATTTGCTAGGGACTAAGGCGGGTATCGTAAAATTTGCTGAGGATCGAAAATGATATTTACTCCTTTTTTTATCTAAACATTATATTCTTAGTGTAGGTTTCGTGTTCGGCTATTTGACCATTTTACCCCTCATTAATTAATTAATACTATTTTGCCCCTGATTCAAAATTATCTACCAATCTGCCCCTCTTTAATCGACTACCTTGCATTTTTAATCGACTAAATAGTTGTTGGGAGATTTAATCGACTAAATCTCCCTACTTAATCGATTAAAAAATCATACTGACTTGTTTTCCTTTGTTGTCTGTTGGGAGATTTAGTCGACTAAATAGGGAGATTTTGTCGATTAAATCTCCCAACAACCATTTTTGCTTGTTTTGGTCATTTAGTCGATTAAAAATGCAAGGTAGTCGATTAAAGAGGGGCAGATTGGTAGATAGTTTCGAATCAGGGACAAAATGGTTATTAATTAATTAATAAGGGGCAAAAGGGTGAAAAAACCTTTCGTGTTCCCCCACCCCTATGTAGCACCGATACCGACACGAGACACGGGATACGACACGACTCGACACTCCGACACGTTAATTCTAAAAATATTAGATTTCGACACGTTTGGACACGTTTGGATATTAAAGAATATTTTTAATTTATGTTGTGTATATTATATTTAATATTCAATAATTTAACAAAAAAATAAAGCTAAATTTATAATACCCATTAATTTTGCAAAAAAATATAAGATATCACAAATATTTATATTAAATTCAATAAAATGGTAATAGTAATCCAACGAATCTAATAGTTAAAACTAAAAATGCAATGCAACGCAACCTTTGAACCTTTTTTTTAGTTTCTACGACCCAGGTTGGAGTGTCGGGGAGTGTCAGAGTGTCGGAGAGTGTCGGACACGACAAGTCGGAGTTTTTGAAGTGTCGGTGCTTCATAGCCCCACCCCCTACCCCACCCCACACACACATAGTTGTTTTGAATAAAACTTAAGGTTTATTTGCATCAGTCGATTCAATGAAAAGAATATGTACTTTTTAATATTAATATTGGATAAATTGTTTTAAACTTTCCTAATTTAATTGATTAGCCTTATGTGAATGAAATAGGACGATTTTTTTATAAATTTTTTTTTGTATTAGTAGAGGGCAAGAGTCTAAAGGGAAAAATACATAGATACATGTTGCATGTATGAAATTACATGCTCCATTAACAACCTAGAGCTATTAACCTTCTAAAAAGAGAGAATTACATCAGGTGGATTAGTAAAAACAAGAAATCTTGAGCAGGGAGAGACAAACCCATTTTGGCAAGTTTATCCACACAAGATTTTAGCTATTTAGGCATAAATTTTGTACTCAAGTTACCAAACATTTAGGCGACAAGCCTAATATGATTAATCAATGAAGATTAACCATAAATTCCAGCATTTCCAGATAAACAAAGTAAGGCTTCTCTAAAATCATAGCCAAGGAAGAGGTTAGTGCAGTTAAGTTTCTAAGTAAAGGTAAGACATTGTAAGCAGCCCCATAATTCAACTTCCAAAACAAAGGAAGGACCAATATTGAGAGCAAAACCATAGATCTAGCTCCTTTAGGAATCATATAAATCCACCATTTGAACTTTTAGTATTTGCTACACACATAGCTCCATTAACATACAAATTAAATTTGCTTTGAGGGATTTTTCGTCAAAGTGAATGGCTGGAAAAGTACTTGCATTCTTATCACATATTGTAATTCCATTACTAGATTTTTTCATATCAGAGGGAAAAAGAAGAATCTGATGGTAAGGATCTATAGGCTTAGTGAAATTTTTTTCATGAAGATTTGAGTTTCTCCATTCCCATAAGAACCAACAAGTTATGTAAAATACTTCTTTTCCAAACATGCCATTTGTTTACGAGGAAAAAGTTGATGATATTATACATGAACCATGATTTACCATCTAAGGGGAAGAAGTTTTGAGGAACATGTTCAAAGAACCAGCTTTTCCAAATGAATTTTGTAAAACTACAATCTCGGAAAGTGTGGAAGATTGTTTCAGCATTGTTAAAACAGGAAGGGCAAGATTGGGGGCTTTCACTCTAATGACTGA